AGGGGGTGTTTAATATGAACGGGGAATGGGATTATATAGCGTAACCCCCGAACTAATCATCAACCAACAGGGTTTTTGAACAATGCTCACAGATGGGCTTATCCCAGCCTGAACTATGATACTATGGTTCATGTCAAGTCTCTGACCGGTTCAACGTTAACCGATTTTCTAGGACTCTGGATGAACCTCAAATGGTTACCAACCAATGGTTGGATTCAAATGAATCAGCTCAATGATTCTGAGGTCAGGTCAGCAAGTCAACAAGCATACGCTGTCGCTTGATACATCACCATATGAATCAAATTGTATGCATGAGTCATTACATAGTATCATATTATACATACACATATGCCTATATATATATTACATATGTGTGTATGTTTTTCATATGTATATATATATATGTATATATATACATATATATATATATGTATATACATGTATATATATATGTATATACATATATATATATATTGACAGCTACGTATGTTCGTGTGCGTCTAGTTTGAAGCGCCGGGACACCATGGACGGATTTTTCACATCGAGTCGATGCCCTCGCCGATTGTACCAGAGTGGATGCGTCCATTGGATCTCAACCCAAGTCTGGTAGTCGTGAGGATTGTAGTATTGAGCCTCACCATTTGGCATGACAGTGCTTCGCATCTTCACATCATGACATGAATCATCGAAAATGGAGGATCAAGTCTCTGGGGCAAAATGCGATGCCCTTAGGCACAAACTGGAGGCAAAATCAGTCGTGTGACTGATGCGGACATTCACGAACCGGAACCGGAACCAATGGGACCAATGTGGATCTGTGATGCGAAGATAAAAAAAATATATATATATATAATGAAATTATTAACCCCGAATCAAAGCCCAATAACTGTTTAAAGTTGATACAAGTTAACCCTCTCAAGAGCTTCAAGCCTCGATTTCACCCTCGCCCCCACCCATCGGATCCCATTGGGAGACAGGCCACGTCCCAATTTTCATTGACCCTGGCCGTGGTCCAGCCATCGGTTTTCCCTACACCTGCAGCAAGGGCGATGGTTTTTGTGGTTGAATCATGTTGAATCCATCCCATGAAATCCAAAGATGTTGCTAAAAGAATCCCCAAAAATAGCCCATAGCCCGGCTTTACGGAATGGTAAAATCCTATTACATCCCATGAAGTCCCATCATTAATTATATCTCATACTTCGTCAATATCCTATTTTATATATATATATATATGTATGTATGTATGTATGTATGTATGTATATATATATATATATCCGATAATCGCGTGTCTTAGCAGTCCCCATCCTATCCAGAATGTCCATCACCAAGGTACTGGGATGCATGACACCAGAGGTTCGGTGCTGGACCATGAAGTAACCATTGGGGTCTTGTCCTTAGGATTTCTGCTTCAGGCACTGAAAAGTCCCACAAAAAATATCTCTATAAGTGTACGCATTGCATTCCATTCCATTCCATTGCGTTGCATCCATATATGTACATATACAAATATGCATATACACATGGTATATATGATTATATAAATATGTATAGTCATGTGTGTATTGTATACAGTAGTATGTATATACGTATATGGTCCAGCGTTCCAACCGCCCCCTCCCACCCTGCCGGCCATGGTCATGGTTAAGTAATAGTATGTAATAGTACTAACGCCCTCCCATGCTTTCATAAAAATAAGGCTTATCTTGTTGCGGCGGACACCTTGACGGACACTTTGACGGACCGTCAACCTCACCGTCGACCTCTACTAACCTCTCCGTCAACCTAACCGTCAGGCATCCCGCATGCGCCACTAGAAACCTCAAATTCATACGTTTTAAATTTAGATAAGAGGTATATGATGTGTATATATATATAATGATATGTATTATTTATGTTGTTTCCTACGCACATAGAGACTGTTGACAGCCGCGGCGAAGCAGGATATATATATATAATGATATGAATGTATATATATATGGTACTTTGAGGGACAATGTAGTAGGTCGTCAAACAGGTAGCATATACCATCGTATACCTAGTAATGAGAGGCTGGAAGTCAGAAATGCTGCAAATACATAGTAAATACGAGGCCGGACCTCAGAAATGCTCCCAGTAGCTTGCAAATGGAAGGGCTGGGGGTGCTACCTGGAGACCCATACCATTGGACGGTAGGAACACGGAACACGAGACACGAGACCATATTATATACTTGTACTGGATTGTACTGGTCAATTGGGATCAAACATCCCAGGCCCCGGCCCAGGGATGCCTACCCTCTGCACATTTTGAGCATTTGGTCCTCACTGTATGGAGACCATTAGCTGCGCCTGAACCAAAAGGATGCGAGTTATTCGGCAACTCCTACAGAGGGTCATTTCCTCTCATTGGCGGGCTGATTTTGATCGTCCGAAAAGTGGCCCATCCTTTAAAAGCCTCAAAAGCTCCAAACCCTCCGCAGGCACGCCCTCTGCAGCTTTCGAAGGCAAACACTGCCCACATGGCATGTTTTAGGTGGCTCCTCTATACGACACCACAGTCGTCCATGCTTCTCCCATCTCTGCTGCTACATCCACACCTTTCTACTGCATCAACTGACCATGCCTGCCTTTCACCAAGGTGCGATACCGGTGGAAAACGTCGACCGTTTCTCCAGCACGGAGGGAGCTCACAGTAATCTGCGGTCCTGCACAGCATTCAATGGACTCAAAGTTGATATTACCCGTTGGAATCAATGAAACCCCGCACCACCAGAGATCTGTTCAAACACCATGAATAGTGAGAGACGCATCAAATCATATTAACATTCTTCCGACTTGCTTTGTCTGGTTCATATTGTTTCGTCATGGTCCATTCAATGCCAACCCCGCCTTCTCCGTAGTGGTTGTCATGATGTTGTCCTCATCTGCTAGGAATGAGGGAAAGAAAGCAAATTCAAAATGGATCCGGGAGATTCTCTCAACATTCAACAATACTGGATGAATGAAGACACACGTTGCCATAGTGACCCGTACTTTCAAAATATCATGAATTGTAGTGGACTTCAATCGTCAAAGGGTCCAGGCAACCCTCAAACAGAATACCGTATAGTATAGAGGCTCATCAGTTCCTAGCAAAGGAATCTCTGTAAAGGACTCTCTGTTCAGCATGCAAACTCGCACCTTCCACTCAGCTAGCTAGTCACAATCTGAAAAATATTAGTGCTTGGTGCAAGCTTCCAATAAATTTAGACATCCACTAAACCACACTAAACCAATGAGCTGTCACTTATTGCGACATCATAGCTGCACCAGAAAACCTGTCCGCCAAGTCGCCACCCTTTCCGCCTTTGCCTGGGTCGCTGGAAGCCATGGAAGTCTACCAGCACTGATGGTTTCACATCACCGCAGTGCCCAAAAACACGATGGAAATCGATGGAACACCAATGCCCTTGTTTTCTTATGTTTTCTTGTATCCTGACAAGGGAAAATTCGAAAATTCCATGCATTTCAATACCTTTCTGAAAGATCCGTTCAAGAAAGGATGCTTTCAGCTTGATTCACCAGGTCACCCTTTCCATAGTATGGACCATGTCCATAGCCGCGGCTCATGGCCCCAGGCCGTGCCGGCGCAGGAGGGGTCTCGGCTTCAGCTGAAGCCGAAGATGCCAACGATTCAAAGGATTCGAAGATCTGGCTGGACATGTCTGAAACATTGCGATTAACCACTGCACAAACGGCCTACTACCCTCTGGTCATTTAATGACATCTTCATGTTATATGGGGAAAATATATTGCCATGTTACCCGTGTTCAATAGGGACAAGTGGGCCCAAGTGGGTGTTTTTTCACGGAAGCGAAGGATATCCCCCTGCCAACCACTCCGCTGGTGCTACTCTTCGATGTGGGACCTTCTCCCGGAGCCTCACACAGCGACATGGGATACATTTACCAAGGGTTTACCCACTGATACCCGTTGCTGATAGCCATTGATGGGGGTAGAGAGCGCATTTCATTTAGACATTGAGAGAATTCGATATTCCAACAAGATCCAACAAGTATCACCGGCACAGGCGGCCTCGGTCTTCATAGTAGCTTTGGTCTTCATAGCCGCGATCGTTTCGATCGTAGCCTGGCACTGCTGTGGGCTGATCAACACCACATGGGGGCTTCGTCGTGCCACGAGCGGCAGCAGCTGCAACAGTGGATCAAGAACCGATGAAAGTGATAGACAACCAACCATGATACAACATGACACGAGCACTTCTGATGGGAACAGAAACACGCAGAAACACCATGTCCACCTTGGGTTGGGAACCAAACATGACAAGTCACAGGTTCTCGTCCCTAAACCCTGGTGAAATGTGTTGGATCGACCGTCCAAACCAGTGAATCTTACGGCCTGAGCCACCGCCATCGTATCCTCAGGGGACAGACTAGTCATACAAACCATGCGAGTGGGGTTGCAGTATCCATCATGATCTATGACAGGGGCACAATGATTTTTCGACCTGACGTGTACCTATCTCAAGTATTTTCAAGTTGTATCTGGAATCTTCTGGTAAGATATCGTAAGATTGGTAAGTGGTCCGAAATTGCAAGGCACAGTCCTCAGAAACTGTTCCCTGAAAGGATATGTATGGATATGTATGGATATGTTAGGTCTTCATATTGCAACTTATGGATCCAACAGGGCTCTTGGATCCGAGGGGCTGCCATACCGGTCACTGTCACTGCCATAGTCATAACTGCCATAGACCCGATTGTCTCGTGACCGATCTTGGCTGTTCCCGTGTCTCCGATCCGAATGACTCTCGTAGTCATCCCCACCTCAAGCAATCGACCCGGGTGGCAAAGGCCCAAAGTGACCCATTATATATATAATCACAGAAAAAGCAACGCGGAAGGGGCACAAGTTGTTTAAAAACTCCACGGAATTTGAGGCTTTCAAAATATTTGTATACATTTATAAGTTTTTATGAGTATTATGTATATATATATTATTATATATTATATATTATAATATATATATATATTTTATTATTATATATTATATATTATATATTATATATTATATATTATATATTATAGATTATATATTATATATTATATATTACATATTATATATTACATATTATATATCATATATATTATATATTATATATATTATATATTATATATATTATATATTATATATGTTTATATATATTATATATGTTTATATATATTATATATATTATATATTATATATATTATATATTATATATATTATATATTATATATTATATATTATATTATATATATTATATATTATATATATTATATATTATATATTATATATATATATTATATATATTATATATATTATATATATTATATATATTATATATATTATATATTATATATTATATATATTATATATTATATATTATATATTATATATTATATATTATATATTATAAATTATAAATTATATATTATATATTATATATTATATATTATATATTATATATTATATATTATATATTATATATTATATATTATAAATTATATATTATATATTATATATTATATATGTATGCGTACCCTCTGGTACTTTGACATAGCTGTGGCAACTATGGGAAATCCACATTTCAAACAGGCAAATCATCCATAAATAACAAGTTTCCAGAGCTATATTGAATTGCCGGAGCACATGTGTATATATATATATATATGTATATATATGTATATACAATTAAGAACATTATATATGTGTATATATATATATCATATTATATATATTTATATTATATTATATTATATGTTATTATATATATATACATGGACAGTCCTTGAGCCGCAGAATTTTCGATCTTTGTGGATTTTCAGGTGCAGGCCTAAAAATCACTTTTGGGCTAAGAGTGATGGATTCAATGACACAGTTTTGGTGTCAAAAAGTTGGTCTTTCGCGTCTTTTTTGCGTAATTTTGCGTCATATTTTTGGTCCTTCCAAATGTGACTGACAGAGGGCAAAATCAGCAATTGATCGATTTTTGGTCGCTCACGACTTTTCAGTCCAGACCAAAAAAATGCAGTTTTTGGATGTCCAGGTATATATTATGTGTATATATATATATAATGTATATATATATGTGTATATATAGATAGATAGATATATTATACCATAGTTACAGTATGTCATAGTATGGTCTATCATGCATCTTTATACACAGCAACACAGCGAAGCTAAGTTGTCGACCATAGACATTGTCTACGTCATAACCAAAGCCGCCGTAGCCTAGACCAAACCACGGCGGCGCATCTGTGTGGGAAGATCACGGGAATATCATTGGATTGTTGATGGGAATATAGTCTAATATATATATATATAATTGGATTTTGTTGATTTGTTGGATATTTTGCTGGGCATATAATGGGAATATAATGGGAATATAATGGGGATGTAACGGGGATGTAATGGGAATATAATGATTGAATGATAATGAGATATAATATGGCTAACTAACAACAAAATGAAAGGATACAAACCAAATCTGGCATGGAAAGCGAACGATTTAACCTTTGAGAAGCTCTGAACAATGGCAGGCGAGGCTCTTGCATTTAAGCAATGTTTAACATATTGAAGTTTTTAAGCAGGTAATTATTAGTATTTTCCTATACACAGTATATTTTCCTGGACACATTTCTGTGTTTTTTCCACTCAAAATATGGTCCAAATGTCCAAGCAAATGAAGGCAAGGCACCATACCCGTCGTCCTCCTCGGCGTGTGGGCCTGTGGTGCTACGGCGTGGGCTTTCTGGAGGAATCAATCCACAAGCTTTCGGAGGGGCCACCCGGCATCCCTCAGTTTCAGCATCCCAGCCTTGTTGGAGCCTGGGAGGATCTCTCCTGGTGCTTCTTTCATGTTCTCCATTTCAACAAGTTCGTCAAAGCACCCCTTTTTTATTGATGTTTTTGCTGCTGATGATATGATATGCTCATGTGGTGGAATTCAATGTTCCCACACAGATCTGAAAAAAAAAACAATCGTTCTATATGATGATATCTCTATGTTTGCAGCAACATCATATTCCCATGTTCCATGACTACATCCCTATAGTTTTTCACTGCTATCCCAAGCTTTTTCCTCAGCCACCCACGACCCCGCTCCTCCTGGACCCTGAGCTACGCCCCTGGCAGATTTGGAGGGCATGTGTGGCTATCGTCATAATTTACACATATCATAATCTATATCAGAATCTATATCAGAATCTATATCATGTGTGTATCACATGTATATAATAATGTGTTGTTCATACAGATATCATACGAATATCGTGTGTATATCATGTTTATATCCTATGTCACGCATGTAAATATCATCTGTATATTGTGAGTATGTCATGTCTATGTCATATTATGATACATGCATATCAGTCTGTACAGCAGTCTGTATATCATGTGTCGATCATGTGTATATTATATCATGTGCATAGCATGTGTATATCATGTGGTTGGCATATGTCTGTCATATGCATATCATGTGTATATCGTGTGGATATCATATGTGCATCATACGTATGTGTATCATATGTACATCCTGTGTATATCATGTGTATATCTTTTGTATATCATATGTGTATTATATACATATACGGTATACGTATATTACGTATATCTATCTACACATGGAATTGTACAAGTATGTATGTAGCAGCTTATGCTTAATTCTATGGTGCAGTGGCCCATGAACCTCGCACGAGGTCAGGCCTGGTTGTTGCAACGCTTAACAGCGCTCATGATAAACCTCAAGCGCTGAGCAGTCTCAAGTTTTGTTGAGCTCAGCACGGGAGCAGGAATGATACCACTTCTTCACAAAAATTGGAGCTTCCAAGGATATGTCCAAGCCACTTCTTGCCTAAAGGTTCATGAAGTCGTTTCATTTCAAGGGGATGAGAGAAAATCTCAAAAAGAAATGGTGCCTTTCCCTCAGAGCTGCCGGGGGCAGAGATGAAGGGTCACATTGAAACATCCACCAGCCATGCAAAAAGTTAATGTGCAAGATCCACCAAACAGCACACTTTGGGTCTGAAAATGATGCCCTCCATGTTCGGCTGTTTTAAGAGGGGAAAAGAAAGTTCTAAACTCCAAAGCACTGGATTTCAGACAAACTCATTTGCCCTCTGGCAATCAAACATGGCAATGGAAAATCCACCGTTTAGTTTAGTTCGATGCTTTTCCCATCTAAATGCCCTTTTTAGTTCGGGTATTTTCCAGCTAGCCATGCCTGATTAGCGGAGGGTAACCATACCACCTCACATATGGTTAGTTTTAAATTCCCAAAAGAAAAACAGTTATGTCAAGTTATATCCCACTAAATTCCTATTAACCATTAATATTCCGTTGCACTGGTTAGTGCGGATTCCCATCCTGGATCCCCAATGTATGAAGGGTATAGTCAACAGGGGGCTTGAACACTGCTCATGTTTGATTTATTAGGAGGTTAGTACATTATCCCACATATCCCATTAACCCTTAATATCCCCGGAAATCCTATATCATTAACCATAAAACATCATAAAACTATCCCATTCATGTCATATATCCCTACATATCCCTACCAAACCGCCACGAAAAAAACACCGTTCCCAGTAGCGCTGAAGGATTGCGGATGCCATCCGCGTGGCGGAGTTCGGTGAGGATGGCCAAGGCCTACGGTCTCATGGGGTGGGGATGCCATTGGGGTGTTGGAGTGTCCTTCAAAAATGTGGGACTTCATATGGAAAAATGTTGATTTATTTTTGCGAAAAAATGGATTGAATGTGACTGAACTGGGAAAACATGTGATGGTTTAACTTAACGATTTAACTATATAGGAAATGTTTGGGTATGATGGAGATTGAATCGGAATATAACCAGCAAATCGCAATTTGGTGGATAAGATTCAACTAGGAAAAATTTGCCATTTCTGCTGGGATGATGGGTGTTTCATATGGTTTAGGCTACGGTCCACCCTTTCGGATTTCTCATAAAAATGTGGCCAAATCCGATGATTTTTGGGCCTTTTCTGTGGTATTTGAATTGGATGCATTCTTTTTAGGCCGTTTGCGTTTCGCTACAACGAGAAACCACAAAAATTTGCGCGTTTGTCTGATTTGTATTAAGATGCCATCCCTTTTCTCTCGCATCTCCCGAAGAGTTTCTGCGGTGAGGCAGCTATGATTTCCAACTGTGTGGTTCCCCCAGTGCCGCTGCCACTGAGTGGCAAGTTGCCAAAGCAGGGGGTTTGATTGAATCCCCCATTAGACACTTAAGCGCGTCTAGCGTAGCATCAAGCACATGTGCAAATGCAAGAGCAAAAGCGCCTAGCGTAGCATCTAGTACATATAGTGCAACTTAAGAGCGTCTAGCGCAACATCAAGTGCAGGTGCAAGTACAAGTGAACGTTATTGTCCCATCTCACCCCAGCCTCAAAAAACGAAAAAATGCACGGTTTCCCAGCCGCAAACATAAACAACTAATTACGAAGAAATATGTTTACAACCCCAAAAAGGAAAAGTATAAAACCCTGCTTTAAAAAATACAGTGGTAGATTACCTCAAATAGTAAACCAGATGTATTGGTAAATGAAAGTACCGTTCTACTTTTCTGTGGGCCACTATAAACATCTATAAACCAAACAGTAAAATAAACCTGACCTACAAGGAATAACCAACCTTGTGGAGATTCTCATTGAATCATTTATATATATTCATTATATATTCATTATATATTCATTATATATTCATTATATATTCATTATATATTCATTATAAATTTATAAACCATCCCAAACAGGGGTCCAATTGTAGAAAGCCAGCTTGGATAGCTTGGGGAGAGGGCTTATTATGCTTGGGTGTACCATCTCACCAAAGTCTCCGAGACCATCCGAGACGCCTCGGTTGGTTCCAATCCCCGCAGCTGCCGGGTGGCACTGGCGTCGATCTTGTCAGACATCTCAGACATCAGATCCTGGAAGTTATCAAATTGTAATATGTGCATCTCCAAGAACCATAACTATATACAACTATAACATTACTATAACGTTACTATAACATTACTATAACTATAATTACAAACAGTTAAACATCTTATGTCTTGTATATATTTGTTGCAGGATGTTCTGTTGGGGGTTACTATGGAACTTCATTTCAACATTTTTCCGCTATCATCCCAGTACAGTAGGGAGTGCTCCTCTGCCTGTTGCTGCGCAGCAACATCTGGCTCGACCGCACCTCCATTGGCGGATCGATAGGACTTATGTCTGAAGCTGGTCTCTAATTTGGGCTTCCTTTCCATGTAAAACTCTACAAAATCTCGATTTGCCCAGAAAATCATCATAATTCATCCCTAAAGAATTAAACTTCCCTTTTCCATCCTTTTCCCATCCTTTTGGGGACCAAATGGAAAAGTGGTGTCACCTATTTCCACCAGCCCCCCGGGCACCGCTTGGTCCAAGATCGAGACCTGCCAGGACCCAAGTCTGATGAGCTTTCGGCCCAAAGCATCCCATCCACCCAATACCAAACACCCTAAAAAAAACATGGTCTAGTAGAGATTTGCACACATTTAAGGGACGATTTTCTGGGACAAAAAATATTTAGAGGGTGGTTTTATTTGTGTTGTTTGGACGATGAACCGGGGAGATGAACCAGGCCACACTAACCAGCTTGATGGATGACCATACGAACAGCTGCCATTTTTCAGCTGCATTCACGAAGCTTTGGTGCTGCATCTGCACAATGTCCTGGCGAAAATAGTGCCAGGCTGGAGCAAAAAGAGTCCCAGGCTGAAATTGATGATCTGGGCATCTGCAACATCTCAGTCATGTTGCAGTTGTGTTAATCAGGCATTCTTACTCAAATCTATGTAATCAAGTTGGGAGCCTCTAACACCTTGGCCATTTGTTCCAACATGTTCCAACACAGCCGCCAGGACACCCACAAGCGATCTTTCTCTTCATCGTCGAGGTCATCTAAGGTCATGAGGAAGACATCCTCCACCTGAGTGGTGAAAGATGCGAAAGCAACTCGGCTCTCCACCTGCCACGCATTGTTTGTATTGCAGCACATTGTTGCGTTTTGTATGGAGATTTTCATAGTTGTTCTGTGATAGATATTGATAGAAGGAATGTCTCAAGTCTAAGGACCTGAGAGCAGTAGCAAAGTGTGTGTGCCTCTCCAGCCGAGCGACAATTTTAAACCACCTGAGATGCGGAGGGTGGGCCCAAGGATGTGAGATTTCCATGGATTTCCTTGATCCTGCCATATGAATCGAGAGGTCAAATCATCTCAAACCACCGCATGTTGAATATCTGTGTGCCAAATACATCCCGTGCAGCCAAGAGGCTCCTCCTTGGTTGTTGCCACCTGCAAGATTTCTTTTCCACCTGGTGGTTCAGTGCCCAGGCCACAATGCACTCACTGGCACTTATGGCTATATGGTGACATATGGTGGGCATATGGTGAACGAATACCCCCACCATCCCCCAGTGCTATGCTCCAAAAGCTGTCCCCAGCACCTGACACTTCGGGATGAGATCGTCTCAAAGTGCAGGCGAAAAGGGAAAGTAGCCCTCTGCCAGTTGTTTTCCGATGCAGAAACACTGGTCCTTTGACCTCACTTCAGGCGTTACGGAATGACACTTGAGTGGGGTCAAAGGCTAGAAATTTTCCACCCAAAAAAACACAAGACAAGGTCAAGGAAGACCAATCGATTCAGTAATGTTGAATCTGCTTGATGTGCCAGCATTGTGTGCAGTGCTGATCATGTATATAGAATTATATATAAATGTGATTAAGTATGTGTGAGGATCACAATGATCACGGTAGATACCAGCCTGTCTGCCAACCCACAACGTTGTTTCTACTTGAAAGCACCAAGGTCAGCACGTAGCTCGACTCCTTGCAATGTCATCTCAGCTGGGAAACAGGTCGTGCATGTGAGCTTGGGTTTCCTCATTGAAGTTGAAAGCACAAAAAATATTGGCCAAGTGAATATAAACCATACCCAAAGCAATGTTAACTTCATATTAATAAGCACCCTCGAATTAATCAACCAACACCCACATTCCAAAAAATGTTTGGCAATACTACTTTGGGTTGGTTCCGCCCTATGAATAAACATGTGCGACCCCCCGTATTAAACAACACCCTGCTCAGAAATCCTAATTTTTGTGGTAGTCAGGATATTTTTAAAATAATTGTTATAATTGCCTTATAATGGCTGAAAAGTAATGTCTTGAAGAGATGTCCCATTCCCAATCTCACATCTCACCCCAGTGGCGGGGAGGTTGCCACTGAAAAGAGAAATCTCGACCCATTGGCAGGCAGGTTGTTTTTTTTCTAATGTATGACTCTATTACATTTATGTATGACAAGGGTCACGTTGGTGTCGGGGAACGCGAGTCGGAGAACAGATGTTGGTGTCGGGGAACAGCAATGTTGGTGTCGGGGAACAGCAATGTTGGTGTCGGGGAACATGTATGTTGGTGTCGGCCGACGAGCATTCATGTCAGGCTACATCCACTTTGCGCACTTTCTGCACTTCACGCACTTTGTGCACTTTACGCACTGTTTATGCACTTTTTGCGCGTTTGGAACGCCGCCGAACTGGACTTGCTGAAGAGTGCCAAGCCAAAGCCAAGGCGAAAACAATTCTCGCGAGATCCAATGGTGTATGTGTTAAAGCCCGTGCTAAGAATATCTACTTATTCACTACTTATTCTATTTCCAAACCTTACGGATTATGCTCTCGAAGTTGAGCAGGTTTGTGCCGCTCAGCTCCCACTGCTCAACCGGCTCCAGGTTTCGCTATGCCGGGCTTGATGTCGAGACGTCTGCCCTGGAGGTTCGCAGGCCTAAAACAAAGAAGTCATACTCTCTGTATGTTTATTTAGTATATCTGGATTTTGCTGGGTTCATGAGACATGAAAGACTGCTACGGGCAATGTTGGCAGCCATACTTCAAGCTTATGATAAGCGCACACACACCTTACACATGAGGATGGAAAGGCTAGTGTGAGGGACTTTGATCTCAATAAGCATAATTCGAAGCAACGAATCAACGAACCTCATTCTGAGCTCAAAATTACTTTTCAGATGTTTTTGTACTAAAGTTGTGTTGACGGAACCTCGTGCCTGCTGTTCTTTGCAAAGCTGTGGAACTCCATAAATCGGAAAGGACAGCATCCCAATAATTTCCAGAAACTGTTACGAAACGTGCTACTGGTACACTACAGATTCCAGATGGCAAAGCATCGCGACCCGAGGGCCTGATTCAAAGCAGTCGCAACATTCTGCACCAAAGCTGTAGACACAGACATTCTAATCATTCTACAGACTGGTGCAGCCTGGGTCCTCTTGCGATGAGCTGCCAAGGCACTGGCAGCAATCGATCTTGGCCCATTTTTCTGGGAGGCCCGATTGCAGGGGACTAATCTGGGGCCTTTTTGGGGACCTCGAGGGTTGTGAATTTTCAATGATTCATTCCGGAGCCAAAAGAAATAAAAGACATTCGCTGCAACACCTCTGCAAAGGTACGCACAGAATTCCGAGATCACACTCGTTCTTGGCGAGGGTCCTCTTCAATTAAGTTTGTCCATTTTCATCAAATTTCATCATTATCCTTCTCTTCTCCTTCATCCTCTTTCCATGATGAAGTTTCTCAATTCCGTTCCTCTCGTTTCGTGTTACTCGTTCCTCCTCATTCCTCCCTTTTAACAGAAGAGAACAGCAGATGGGTCCTGGGTTTGATAGACTTCGACGAATACCCCCCCTTGTCCTTGCGTTTTTTTCTTCATTTGCCTCCTCTTTTCTGTTGCAGGAACAAGGGTGAAAGAATATCATGGACAGTCATGGACATATTGATGAGATCTTGGTTCCGCAGGTAATTTTCACGGGTTGGGTATACCCCGTATATCCATTTTTGTCAGGGAGCTGAGCAGCCTGAAGGACAAAGGCACACGGGCGCATCAGGTTTTCTGGACTAAACTCAAGCCTGTTTGCTTGACATTTTTTTGTTGGGATCTAAGCATTGAAATCACTGCAGTCAATCCTTGAACCATTCGTGGTTTTCCTCATCTCCATTTTCTTGGTTGGGTTTTCTTCGTTTGACCTTGCGACAAGGCATTTCCTCGCTGCTCGCGGGATGGCAGATCGCTGGACGTCACCGGACAGGCTTCATGCTGCTTGGCTCAAGCTGCTAGGGCCACTATCTTGTGCTGTGAAATTTGATCTGCAAGCTTGGCCAAAAATGTCTGCTTGGTACATAGATCCATAATGATCCATAACACTATATAACAGCCAACCTCAGCCAACCTCAGCCAACCTCAGCCAACCTCAGCCAACCTCAGCCAACCTCAGCCAACCTCAGCCAACCTCAGCCTCCAGCTTCCCCAAATTCACAATTTGGGGCTCCTTTAGAGCGACGTTTTGCGATTCTAAGAGGTCACAGCAGCAATGTTGGTGTCGGGGAACAGCAATGTTGGTGTCGGGGAACATGTATGTTGGTGTCGGCCGACGAGCATTCATGTCAGGCTACATCCACTTTGCGCACTTTCTGCACTTCACGCACTTTGTGCACTTTACGCATTGTTTATGCACTTTTTGCGCGCTTTTTACGCACTTTATTTAGGCACTTTGTGCACTGTTCGCACTTTGACATGGCGCGCATGCATAGACGCATTTTTTGACGCACTTTTTACGCACTTTTTGCGCACTTTTTACGCTCTTCTTGTGCACTTTTTACGCACTTTGCGCAATTTACCCAGTTTACTCGCACTTTACGCACTTTTTACGCAATTTTTGCGCACTTTTTATGCCCTTTGCGCACTGTACCCAGTTTAGGTACTTTGTGCATTGTTCGCACATTGACATGGCGCGCATGCACAAATGCATTTTTGACGCACTTTTTACGCACTTTTTGCGCACTTTTTACGCACTTTTTGCGCACGTTTCACGCACCTTTTACGCACGCACTTTTTACGCACTTTTTACTTTTTACGCACTTTTTACGCACTTTTACGCACTTTTTGCGCACTTTTTACGCGCTTCACCCAGTTTAGACACGCACCTTTCGCTTGTGCAACATGGCGCGCATGGCGCATGCATAGACACATTTTTGCCGCACTTGTTACGCACTTTTTGCGCACTTTGTACGCACTTTTTAGGCACTTTTTGCGCACTCTTTACGCACTTTGCGCGCTTTACCCAGTATACTCGCACTTTGTGCACTTTTTACGCACTTTTTGCGCGATTTTTGGACACTTTTTATGCACTTTGCGCACTGTACCTAGTTGAGGCACTTTGTGCATCGTTCGCACTTTGAGCACAGACGCATTTTTGACGCACTTGTTACGCACTTTTTGCGCACTTTGTACGCACTTTTTAGGCACTTTTTGCGCACTCTTTACGCACTTTGCGCGCTTTACCCAGTATACTCGCACTTTGTGCACTTTTTACGCATTTTTTGACGCACTTTTTACGCACTTTTTGCGCACTTTTTGCGCTCTTCTTGTGCACTTTTTACGCACTTTGCGCAATTTACCCACTTTATTTGCACTTTACGCACTTTTTACATACTTTTTGCGCACTTTTTATGCCCTTTGCGCACTGTACCCAGTTTAGGTACTTTGTGCATTGTTCGCACATTGACATGGCGCGCATGCACAAATGCATTTTTGACGCACTTTTTACGCACTTTTTGCGCACGTTTCACGCACCTTTTACGCACGCACTTTTTACGCACTTTTTACTTTTTACGCACTTTTTACGCACTTTTACGCACTTTTTTTTGCGCACTTTTTACGCGCTTCACCCAGTTTAGACACGCACCTTTCGCTTGTGCAACATGGCGCGCATGGCGCATGCATAGACACATTTTTGCCGCACTTGTTACGCACTTTTTGCGCACTTTGTACGCACTTTTTAGGCACTTTTTGCGCACTCTTTACGCACTTTGCGCGCTTTACCCAGTATACTCGCACTTTGTGCACTTTTTACGCACTTTTTGCGCGATTTTTGGACACTTTTTATGCACTTTGCGCACTGTACCTAGTTGAGGCACTTTGTGCATTGTTCGCACTTTGAGCACAGACGCATTTTTGACGCACTTTCTACGCACTTTTTACGCACTTTTTACGCACTTTTTACGCACTTTTTGCGCTCTTTTTACGCACTTTTTGCGCACTTTGTACGCACTTTTTACGCTCTTTTTGCGCACTTTTTACGCACCTTCCGCACTTTACCCAGTTTACTCGCACTTTACGCACTTTTTACGCACTTTTTGCGTGCTTTTTGGACACTTTTTATGCACTTTGCGCGTACCTAGTTGAGGCACTTTTTGTGCATTGTTCGCACTCACAGACGCATTTTTGAACACTTTTTAAGCACTTTTTATGCACTTTTTGCGCACTTTTTACGCACTTTTTACGCCCGCACTTTTTACGCACGTTTTACGCACTTTTTGCGCACTTTTTACTCACTTTACCCAGTTTAGGCACTTTGTGCACTGGTCGCACTTTGACATGGCGCGCTTGCGCATTGTTCGCACTTTGACATGACGCGCATGCATATTGACGCACTTTTTACGCACTTTTTACGTACTTTTTGCAGACTTTTTCCGCACTTTTTCCACACTTTGTGCGCACTCTTTACGCACTTTTCGCACTTTACCCACTTTATTTGCACTTTACGCACTTTTTACATACTTTTTGCACACTTTTTGCGCACTTTTTACGCACTTTGCGCACTTTACCCAGTTTAGGCACTTTGTGCATTGTTCGTCACTTTGACATGGCGCACATGCAGAGACGCATTTTTGACGCACTTTTTACGCACTTGTTACGCACTTTTTGCGCACTTTTTACGCACTTTTTACACACTTTGCGCACTGTTCCCAGTTTAGGCACTTTGTGCATTGTTCGCATTTTCGACATGGCGCGCACAGTATAGACGCAGATTTTCCGTACTTTTGACGCATTTTTTGCGCACTTTTTACGCAGTACCCAGTTTACTCGCACTTTACGCACTTTTTACGCACTTTGCGCACACTTTTTAATTTGTGAGCACAGTACAAGTGGCTTTGGTTGAATTTGAAATGCTGGCAAGTGGTGGTTTGCGTTTGCGCTTTTTTATGCGACCGTTTGACAAGCAAGCGAGTCAACGGCTTTGTGCCGGATGGCAGATTCTTTGACCTGCTGAGCGGTCACTTTGAGATTTCCACATTTGCAAAGACCATGTCCTGAGGCGAAGAACGCGCCCCAAACCGAACACTGCAGAAACTGACGTGGTAAGCCGAACAATAACATATATACCGCTTAATCCGCAATAATATATACCAAACCACTCTTGGATATGGAAGTGGAGATATGTAGAGTTTGCACATTTGTCTGCACCAGCACTCTCGGCACGCTTTGCGGACCTGAAGATGCTGGAGCACTGTCTGTTGACTGTGGCACCGCACTAGTAAATGTGGCCTTGTCAGATCAACTATACATATCATCAAATATGACCAAATAGTATGTATATATATATATGTGTGTGTATGTGATTGTATGTGTGTGTGAACATAACATAAACCAACTGTCACTATTGTGGCACCGCACTAGTAAATGTGGCCTTGTCAGATCAAATTTGAAGGCATCAACGTCCCAGCTGGTTCTGTTGGATTCTCTGAAATGAGAAAGGCAAAGTGGGTGCCGTCAAAATGCTCACATTAAAAATAACCATCCATTTGTGGCCCTGGTTGAGATCCATACGTAACATGTTCTATATATATAAAGGATTCAGAGCATCTTCAGTCTGTAGTAGAAAAGCTGCATTGCCTGAGCGGAACATGACGGGTTTTTGCTTACGTAAAAAACATCTCACTAGAATCGTATTGGAACTTGGGGGTTGCTTGACAAGTGCACTGATGTAATGGAATGGATTGTGGGCATGCATTAATTATGATGAAAAAATGACGCCCGAGAGTCACATCAACATGGATGATTTGAAGCAAGGGGTTGAAAGGCTTGACATCTACACTCCTGTTCCTAGATCCAATTGGTGAGAGCAAAATCTCAAGCACCGTATCTTGGCACATGACGCTCGGGAGGACAGTGTTGTAATCCTGCCCAAAGAAGAAGTGCAGAAATCTCACAAGTTTCAATGACATCGCTAGCTTGGTGACATCTGCGTATTGGTGAGAGCAAAATCTTAAGCACCGTATCTTGGCACATGACGCTCCGGAGGACAGTGTTGTAATCCTGCTGCGACGATGGGACAAATGTCAGACGACTGAGCAATCAGCGTAGCAGCATCCCTAGCAAAGGATTCGTGAAGGAGAGCGCAGGCTCCACTTGGCTGAGAACCAATGCTCCATCCATTGCGGCCATCCAGAGCTTGTAGATGGGCAAGCCACCGATCAATCTCACAATGGACACCCTTGGTGAAGATGGCGTGGTCCCCACCTGCAAAGAGATGTTTCCAAGAGAACTTGCAATCCTTGTGCTGGACACAGTAGCAGTAGAAGATCGTTCCTTCCCCTGCAGGAAAGAATCCCGCACCGCCAGCACGAATCCTGCACATGATCTGCTCTGTCTTGCAGTACTGCATAGTTGCCTGACGGCACTGATGTGTGCTCAACACATCGAAGTCTGGAGGAAGTCTGATCGTCATATGAAGCTGCCAAGCCATGGCAACTGATGACAAGGCACTACAAGAGATCTGAATCCTCGTTTGCACGAATCATGTTGCATAGGTTCTATTGGCAATAGATGTCAAAAATTGATCAACCGACACGGGGCGAGGTACCCCACTAAATTTGGTACTTCGCTTATAATGAAATAAATTGGAAACAACCTTTGGAGGCAACATCTGCCTGAAGCCAGCACAGGCAGCGTCAGCGTCAGAAATGTTGCCGTGTGTGACTTGACAAAATATCACGTGATTCGATGACGCATTCTACCCTGCAAGGATGCAGAGCCACTGATGGCACTTTGAGTTGAATGTCTTGCACACAAAGCGTACCTCCAGCTCTAGGAACGGGATCACCGAGGGTTGAGGGTAGCCTGGAAACATGTAGTTTGATGCATGTCAGTGGCTATGAACTGCACAAGAAAAGTTGAAATCACTGCTTTCCATTCGTTTTGCTGTCTCTCGTTATCACCAACGTGCTCCGTCTGTTCAACAAAGAAAGAGAAATTCTTAAAAACAAATGTGATTGGAATTGTATCCCACTCTCATGTGTGATAAAATGTGATAATCATCTATTAACGATCGAAGCAAACTCATCATTGATGTCAGCATTGAACAGGATCAAACTGTCTCATGATTGATGAACTTGATGTCTGCTGCTGTCTCATGATTGGATCTGATTGGTACGGCCATCTTGGTATGCTCTTCAAATGATCTCTGGTACAGGCCGACAGCTAACTTTTCGACAGATACCACCACGTCGCATTCAGCTAACTTTTTACGCGCTTTTTGTGCACTTTTTACGCACTTTTTGCGCACTTTTTACGCACTTTTTGCGCACTTTTTACGCACTTTTTACGCGCTTTTTGCGCACTTTTTTCGCTGCACTTTTTACGCACTTTTTGTGCACTTTTTACGCGCTTTTTGCGAACTTTTTACGCACTTTTTTACGCACTTTTTACACACTTTTTACGCACTTTTTACGCACTTTTTACGCACTTTTTGCACACTTTTTACGCAGTTTTTACGCACTTTTTTACGCACTTGTTGCGCACTTTTTTACGCACTTTTTACGCGCTTTTTGCGTACTTTTTTCGCACTTTGCGCACTTTACCAAGGTAACTTGCACTTTACGCACTTTTTACGCACTTTTTACGCACTTTTTACGCACTTTTTACGCACTTTATTTATCGCACTAGGACATGGCTCGCACAGTATAGACGCATTCTTGACGCACTTTTTACGCACTTTTTACGCACTTTTTACGCGCTTTTTGCGCACTTTTTTCGCACTTTGCACACTTTACCAGGGTTACTTGCGCTGGACGCATTTTTACGCACTTTTTGCGCACTTTTTTACGCACTTTTTGCGCACTTTTCGCACACTTTTTACGCACTTTGCGAACTACCACCAACATACCAAAAATTGGTAGTGTGGGGCTTGCAATGGCTGGTCCGCGTACTATTAGCACCGTATTAGTCGCCGTGTCGGTGCAAGAAACGCATGCTTCGTATGACAGTATTTGTATTATTTGTACTTATTTGTAAATATATGCATATACAGATACACACATATGTATGCTGTATAACATGTACAAACATGGTACCTCCTGCTAATAAACTTCTTGACTTTGCAGCAGCAATCCGCGGAGACTGTGACATTTAGGGCAGAAAGATTCAGAAAGCGCATCCTTTAGTCTCAGAAGACATGAGACCCGAGGATTCAGAGAGAATTCCATCGCACCTTCGGAGGCCTTCTGCATTCCAGCCTCCAAAGCATGTTTGAGAAACATTGAAACTGATCTCCGCCTTGATCAAAATTGATCAATGCAGGTTGATCCGTGAAGCTGAGACCCGACCAACAACAAATGAAACAAATGTTCGCCTTCGTCTCGGTATCCGCTGCAGACTATGCGCCTGAATCAAAGCAAAAAAAAGAAACCAAAGCCACAGAATGTTACGCGGCAGTTTCAGATGATCCACACGTGCAACGGCTTCCATGCTGAGCACCAAGCACTTTCTGTCCCCTGTCATGCAAATGAATACAATCATATTATAATCACAAGGTTTCAGTTCCAAAAATATCATGTCGAGGCTCGGGAAAGAAGTTGATGGATGCATGGTCATCATGTAATTCAGTGTCCATCTTTCACATTAGCCGTGTGCAGCAAGTGCAACGCAAGGTCTGCTGCTGTCTCATGATTGGATCTGATTGGTATGCTCTTCAAATGATCTCTGGTACAGGCCGACAGCAAACTTTTCGACAGATACCACCACGTCGCATTCAGCTAACTTTTTACGCGCTTTTTGTGCACTTTTTACGCACTTTGCGAACTACCACCAACATACCAAAAATTGGTAGTGTGGGGCTTGCAATGGCTGGTCCGCGTACTATTAGCACCGTATTAGTCGCCGTGTCGGTGCAAGAAACGCATGCTTCGTATGACAGTATTTGTATTATTTGTACTTATTTGTAAATATATGCATATACAGATACACACATATGTATGCTGTATAACATGTACAAACATGGTACCTCCTGCTAATAAACTTCTTGACTTTGCAGCAGCAATCCGCGGAGACTGTGACATTTAGGGCAGAAAGATTCAGAAAGCGCATCCTTTAGTCTCAGAAGACATGAGACCCGAGGATTCAGAGAGAATTCCATCGCACCTTCGGAGGCCTTCTGCATTCCAGCCTCCAAAGCATGTTTGAGAAACATTGAAACTGATCTCCGCCTTGATCAAAATTGATCAATGCAGGTTGATCCGTGAAGCTGAGACCCGACCAACAACAAATGAAACAAATGTTCGCCTTCGTCTCGGTATCCGCTGCAGACTATGCGCCTGAATCAAAGCAAAAAAAAGAAACCAAAGCCACAGAATGTTACGCGGCAGTTTCAGATGATCCACACGTGCAACGGCTTCCATGCTGAGCACCAAGCACTTTCTGTCCACTGTCATGCAAATGAATACAATCATATTATAATCACAAGGTTTCAGTTCCAAAAATATCATGTCGAGGCTCGGGAAAGAAGTTGATGGATGCATGGTCATCATGTAATTCAATGTCCATCTTTCACATTAGCCGTGTGCAGCAAGTGCAACGCAAGGTCTGCTGCTGTCTCATGATTGGATCTGATTGGTATGCTCTTCAAATGATCTCTGGTACAGGCCGACAGCAAACTTTTCGAAAGATACCACGTCGCATTTAGTTGGGCTGCTCGAACAAAAGCAAAGCTGCTTCATCAGCTGGCTGATTTGGCGCACATTGCCCAAGGATGCAATCACCAGACGGCCCTTGCAAGCCAAACGGTTCAAAAGCCATCTGAATTAAATCCAAAACAGTTCGGATGGAAATGTTGGAGCTCAACAGGATGCAGCATGCAGTATGCAGAGGTCTCTCTGCTGCACCCCCAGAAAATCCGAGAGTAACGACAAGGCATGAGGAAACCTTGGAAATGGGGCCAAACTGTTCATACAACTCACCCTTCTCAGCTGCTCTCATTGATGTGCTGTTGGGCAAGAGCATCACAGTTTGCGATGGTCGAAACACCAGCATGCCTGAGCTTTGATTCATGGCGTTTGCTGCAGCACGTTCTTCACCTCCAATAAACTGCAACTGCGTCGCCAATGCATCGACTTCAAATACACGTCCCCAAGTGCCAGAAATCTCCATGTTGCTGACCTCCTGTTCCACCGTGCCGCAGCTCTGAATCGAGGACCCAGATGTCCGTGGATCTGATGGATCACTTGCGCCAAGTGATTTCCCCTGGCTGCATGCCACTTGCCAGTGAATTGCAGGACTGCACGTTCTTCATTTTCTGTCTCAACGACTCCCAGCGAGAAGGTATGCAAAGAAGGCTTTGGGATCCCCTCTTCATCAAAATGCTTCGAAGCAATGGCACAGCGATACAGGCCCCAGTCTCTGCCGAAGACTTTGTATGTCACATCCTGGACTGCGACAATGGGACAAGTGTCAGAAGACTGAGCAATCAGCGTAGCAGCATCCCTAGCAAAGGATTCGTGAAGGAGAGCGCAGGCTCCATTTGGCTGAGAACCAATGCTCCATCCATTGCGGCCATCCAGAGCTTGTAGATGGGCAAGCCACCGATCAATCTCGCAATGGACACCCTTGGTGAAGATGGCGTGGTCCCCACCTGCAAAGAGATGTTTCCAAGAGAACTTGCAATCCTTGTGCTGGACACAGTAGCAGTAGAAGATCGTCCCTTCCCCTGCAGGAAAGAATCCCGCACCGCCAGCACGAATCCTGCACATGATCTGCTCTGTCTTGCAGTACTGCATAGTTGCCTGACGGCACTACCCTGCCAATTGAATAAGTCTGATTCGCCCCCAAAACTCCGTCCAAGGCATCGGTTGGAGGCAGATTCATGACGTTGGCAGGGAGAAGGTTCGTCTTCAAATGGTTCCATCCACTTTCCATGGATTGAGAAATGCTCTGGGAAGTGAATCCAGGAGAGGCCTCGGTCAGACATGGTGATTCTTCTACACAGCGACACAAGCCTCACCCTGGATTTCCAAAGCCTATTGAAAGACCATTTCACGGTTTGTGGAAACGGTCTTCCACAATCACGGTATGGTTTATTTCAAGCTTGTAGATTATCATTCGTTAACAGATTTTAGACGATGTTGCATCTCACTGCATGTAGAGACAGGCTCATCCATGATCTGAGCCACGTTTCACGATGTTTCATGTTGGGCCCCAGCTTTTTCACAGACAACTTAATACGGCGATATGGGGAGGGGGTGCAAATTTGTGCGGTTGAACCACAATGTGTAACTGACATGAAATTGTGCAGTTCAAAACCCCAAAAGGGCAACAGATTCCAAGTGAATGTTTACTGATTTCAGAGTAGCATGAATACAGAAATAGATGATGTAAGAAAGGCAAGCCAGAAAACCGATGAAGAAAGACAGGACAATAATAACGGCGTCCAAGCAGCATCGGATGTCTGGAACGTCACTGTGTCATTCCACAGGCTGATCCGGTTGCGGCAAAGACTCGTCCACATTTTTTGGTTCTCCTTGTCCTCGAGCGTGAAGACATGCTGTTGAAGGTATGCTGCGTAGTCGACTTCCCCCTGCTCTATAAGCCGTTGCAGCAACGCATCAATGTACAACTGCCACAATCCATCGCACCAGTACAGCCCGGAGAAGGCAAACTGGAGAAGAGCGCAAGCCAATTTGCGCGATGCCACAGCGCCACAAGCATGCCTCATCATAGAAGTCAGCTGATGGCGCTGGTCCAGTCTGAAAACTGCCTTTGGAAAAATTGACCGCACGGCAGCTATGCCTCCAGGACCCTGATCTCCATGGATCTGATGGATCACTTTCGCCAACTGATTTCCTCTGGTTGCATGCCACTGGCGTGTGAACCCCAGAACTGCACTCAGGTGCTCTTCGCTTTCTTTGGCAACGACTCCCAGCGACAAGGTATGCAGAGAAGTCCTTGCGATCCCCTCTGCATCAAAGTGCTTGGAAGCAATGGCAAAGCGATAGAGACCCCAGTCACTGCCGAAGACTTTGTATGTCACATCCTGGACTGCGACAATGGGACAAGTGTCAGAAGACTGAGCAATCAGCTGAGCGGCATCCTCGGCAAAGGACTCGTGAGCTAGCATGCAGACACCATCTGGCTGCGACAGGATAGTCCACCCATTGCGACCATCGAGAGCCTGCAGATGCCCTATAGCCATCGACCAAGGGTGGGCGGGCCAATCTCACGTGTCTCCTGCATGCCATACACTTGGCGCCTTCTGGCATCTGTGAGCTCCTTCTTCGATGGCCATTCTGCTGCAGGCACATCATGCGCGATCAGATCGACGACCGCTTCCATGGGCTTGCAAGTGCGAACAGCTTGCGCAGCCTTCATCCTACGCTCGACTGGCACTCCTCGAACTTGCCGGTCTACTTCGGCATGGGCACCCTTGATGAAGATGGCGTGGACCTCGCTGGAGAAGACATGCTTCCAAGAGAACCCGCAATCCTTGTGCTTCTGACAGTAAGCGTACATTGTTGTCCCTTCGGATGCTCCGCTCCTGCCAGCACGTATCTTGCACTTGATTTTCTCCTTCTGACAGTACTGGTCGGTTGCAGCACGGCACTGGCCCAGGCTCAACACATCGAAGTCTGGAGGCAGTTTGATCGTCGTGTGGATCTGCCAAGCCATGGCAAACGAGGACAAGGCTTTACTGGAAGAAATCTGAATCCAACGTGCACAATGCATGTTGCAGAAGTTCAATCTCTGAAAAATAGATTATTAGTGTCATCGCAGTCGAGATGTCCAGCCCCACAAACTGTAACCACGAGGCCGGAACAATGCGTTGCCAGAACATGGCCAGTCGCTGGGCACGGCACGTATCCCCATCAATATGTATCCACAACTCATATCCTTCCACTGCACAATGTGCGGCAACTTGGCAGCGATGGCTGTCAGATAGGATGCAGCATGCAGTGTGCAGAGGTCGCTCCACGGCACCCCCAGAAAATCCGAGAGTAACGACAAGGCGTGAGGAAAGAGGTTGGTTGGTAATGGGACCAAACTGGTCATACAACTCACCCTTCTCAGATAAAGCTGCTCTCATTGATGTGCTGTGCGGCAAGAGCATCACAGTTTGCGATGGACAAAACACCAGCATGCCTGAGCTTTGATTCATGGCGTTGGCTACAGCACGTTCTTCACCTCCAATAAACTTCAACTCCGTAGCCGATGCATCGACTTCAAATACACCTCCCCAGGTGCCAGAAATCTCAATGTTGCTGACCTCCTGTTCCACGCAGAGGTCAAAAACAAAATGTTCGCAGTCGCATCTCATTGTTCTCATGCGCGTCAGCTCCATGGCAGCGGAGTGATGCGCTTGTGAAAATCACATGATTAGACTAGACCCATCCGTAAAGTCAAAACTGTGCATGACAAGTGTCAATAACGCGAAACAACATTTTGCTTTTGCACTATCGTCAATGCATGTGCACTATTAGAGCAGCTGCAGCGGTCTTTGACTGGTTCAGTCACAGTAAAAGAAATAGCATGCTTTGAAAACAAGCAAAGCAGCTCCTATAATAAGCTGAATCACTTTGCGTACTTCACGCAATTGACGCACTTTGGTCAGTTTACGCACTTTACACAGATGGCGCGTTGGACGCGCTTTGCGCACTTTGACGTACTTTGCGCACTTTTTACGCACTTTTTACGCACTTTTTGCGCACTTTTTACGCACTGTTTACGCACTTTGCGCACTTTACCCAGTTTAACTACTTTACGCAGTTTGATTTGGCGCGCACTTTACGCACCTTTGAACGCACGTTTTACGCACTTTGCGTACTGCATAGAATAGACGCATATTTTACGCACTTTTTACGCACTTTTTGCGCACTTTTTACGCACTTTTTATGCACTTTTTGCGCACTTTTTACACACTTTTTACGCACTTTTTACGCACTTTGCGCACTTTACCCAGTTTACTTACTTTACGCAGTTTGATTTGGTGCGCACTTTACGCACCTTTGAACGCGCTTTTTACGCACTTTTTGCGCACTTTTTACGCACTTTGCGTACTGCATAGAATAGACGCATATTTTACGCACTTTTTACGCACTTTTTGCGCACTTTTTACGCGCTTTTTTACGCACTTTTTACGCACTTTTTACGCAGTTTTTACGCACTTTTTGCGCACTTTTTATGCACGCGCACTTTACCCAGTTTACTTGCACTTTACGCATGTTTTACGCACTTTTTTTTGCGCTTTTTACGTACTTTGCGCACTTTACCCAATTTACTCACTTGTGCACTCGCACTTTGACACGGCGTGCACTGTACGCATTTTTTACGCGCTTTTTACGCATTTTTTACGCACTTCAATGAGCTCGAACATGTTTGTAACATCAACGTCTGTGCTGGAAATGTGATGATGATGTCCAAGTCTGTTGCAGTCAGACTCCAAGTGCATGACCAGGGGAGCCATTTCAGCCCATGTGAACCACCTGATGTCAAAACAGAGGTTCAAGAGCTGGTACTGTTTCGATCTATTCCGTATAGCACCCAAATCTTGGTGCAGTTTTTGTGTTCAGCTTAGATTTGACTGAATTAATGTTGAAGTGCTTGACCAAAGAGTAAACGCTCGCAATGAAGACATGAGTTCCATCGCACCTTCGGAGGCCTTCTCCATTCCAGCCTCCAAAGCATGTTTGAGAAACATTGAAACTGCTCTCCGCCTTGATCAAAATTGATCAATGCAGGTTGATCTGTGAAGCTGAGACCGGACCAGCAACAAATGAAACAAATGCTCGCCTTCGTTTCAGTATCCGCTGCAGACTTTGCTACAGCCTCAATCAAAGCAAAAAAGAAGAAACCAAAGCCACAGAATGTCATGTGGCAGTTTCAGATGATCCACACGTGCAACGGCTTCCATGCTGAGCACCAAACACTTTCTGTCCCCTGTCATGCAAAGGAGTACACAATCATATTATAATCACAAGGTTTCAGTTCCAAAGATGTTATGTTGAGGCTCGGAAGCGAAAGATGAATGGTCATCACAAGACAAATTGAAATGGCCTCTGTAGTTGCACTTTATTTAAAAAAAAAACATCTGCTGATATTTTTTGACTTAAACGCTGTTTGACCTACTGTATCCTTCAGCAAACAATTTGCCCAGCTCTGTGGACCTTCAGTGTGACTTTTCGTTCGGAAAGGCACCTGCTGCGAACTTTGAGAAACTCACAAGCCAGAAAAGCGTGAATTTGACCAACAGGTTGCACATGCCATGTTGTTTAGCAACCAAATCAATCCAAGATCAACGTGCTATTCTCGTCGATGCAGTTTTTGCAAGTCCACGCAGCGTCCGGGTATTCCCTTACACGGCGCAGCGTCATGCCAGGTTTGGGGCCTTCATCTGAAGCCTATCACTTGCAATGGTGCTGTGCTCATCTTGCTCATACAGATGTGTATGTGCATATATATTATGTATATCTGCATGTATATGTAATCTTATATACACATAATATATGTAGACTTGCAACTGTATAGGGGATTACTACAGCCCTGCACATCATGGCACCCAAACATTATCTTCTCGGAAAACGATCTTCAACAAACAAGCTTCACAGGCCCCTATGGTAATCCATCAACAATTACTTCTCAGCAGTAGCCTCATATTTTTCATAGTTAAAGACACTGTTCCCCATAGACCACGAATACATGATGATCACTGCTCAAGGATCGTTTCTGTTTTAAACTTAAAATCTAAACTCTGCCCGGAACCAGGCATGCTGTGACGCTCCACCGCCACTCCTGTGGGTTGTTTTTTCGTCGCCCCCCGACTGCTGGGCCGCGAGTTGCCGAAGAAGGCACGCAGATCTGAACTGGACAGTTTTGGCGAGTGCTGCGCGCCAAAAGGGCGGCGGGTGGGTACAATATCCCTGCGTCGAGAGAGAAATATACATATATATATATATATACATATATTACAGATATATATATATATATACAGAAATATACACTTTGCGCAATTTACCCAGTTTACTCGCACTTTACGCATTTTTTACGCACTTTTTGAGCACTTTTTACGTACTTTGCGCATTTTACCCAGTTTAGGCACTTTGTGCACTGTTCGCACACGCTGCGCACCTTACTATGTGCACTGTACGCATATGTTCCCTGACTCCGACGTATTGTTCCCTGACTCCGACGTATTGTTCCCTGACTCCGACGTTCCTGTTCCCTGACACCGACGTTCCTGTTCTCTGACTCATGTTCCCTGACACGGTCGTGTGTTCCCTGACACCGTCTACGTTGTGTATGACAAGCCCTAGTTGTTTAATTGGGTGGGACTCCCAGCTTCTTGGCGGGGTATATGGGGTATTAATAATATTAATACGAACTTGGCATTCGCTGCATGTTTGAAGCTTCTTTCAGATATGGTGTAACAACATACTATTGTATGGCAAACAATATTCTCCAGTAATGGAATCGCCACGAATTGCCCAGTCAAAAACACCCGTGATTGTCCAGTCAGCCAGAAAAAGGGTCCTTGCTGTTCCAGAAAAAGTCGTGGAAACGAAGGAACTCGTCAAAGCCATCTGTGCTGGTTCCAAAGTCCTTGGTGGACGGGGAAAAGCGGGGAAAAGCGTGGCATGTTTGAGATCCGCTGATGCGGATGCCCGTTCGGTTTGGAAAGGCATCACTATATAAGTGTTGAGAAAAGCATACACCAGTTGGAAATATTTGCGATGTATATACAGGCAATATACAGATACAACACCATGTTATGACACTATGATTGCCAGGATCTGCTCCGTGGGGGGGGGGCGAAGTATGAATAGCTTGAACTCAAATCGGATAATTTCTAGGCACTTCCATGCTTGATCAGAATCGAAGAAAATTGGGATACACCCATAGCTTTCATCAATCTCACCACAACTCTGCAAAGTCAACCCACCTTTCTTGCATCTGGGTTTCAAATGCAAAGCCTGTCATGGTGCCAGTTGCATTGACCGGGTTGTCAAAGCGCCATTCTCCTCACAGCTGTTGGCACGGCATCTAAAGCAAATCTTGCAAACTGTGGTGCAGGCTTGTGCTCAGGCTACCTATTGAAGAAAGAGTCCCATTGTCAGGGCATGTCAAGGGCTGCAAGTCTCCTCCACTGCGGGAGGTCATGGCAAATTGAAAGCCATCCTGGAGCCCATGAGACGCCAATGATCTGATTGTCTTGTTCAAAGTGGTCCAAACTGGTTGATTTCAGCTTTGAAAACCACTTCTTCCTTGGCCCTCCTCCCTTGTTCCAGTGGTTGGGGAGCTCTGCCTCCTTTATTTTTTGAGCCAACAAAGACTATTCGACTATTTCATCTCCCATTGCGGCTCTGTCCTCTGTCCAAGAGGCATTTTCCACCTTGAAGGGCCAGCGTGGGCCTTCACCCAGCCCCACGTCAGCTATGAAGGGACCCTCAGGCAGATGGACCACCAGGACCACGTGGTCTCCCCATTTCACCTGGTGCATTCATCTGATTTCGCGTGGCTCGAGCTGGTCAAACGTCGTGGAGGCGACCCTGCGGAATTTCATAGGTACCATCGTCATCCATCCCATTCTTGGAAACGCCTTTTTGGGTTGCATGGGTATACTAAACGCTATGAATGGGTGAACATCCCCAAATGAATGGTTTCCTCTAATCCAACTGTTGATTGTAGTTGCTTATATATATATATATATCCCCGCCTTATATCCCTATTATGGAATGGTAATATCTCATTGTCCCATTACATCCCATCATAGTTAGTTGGTGAATACCCACTATATATCCCTACCAGTATCTGGTATATCCCAGTATATCCCAGTATATCCCATCAATCATAGTTCCTTAATCCCAATTAATATCCCATCATAGATATCATAGTTGGTTAATACCCACTGTGTATCCCTACCATTATCCCATTAATTATATCCCATCAATCATAGTTGCTTAATCCCAATTCATATCCCATCATGGTTGATACACCCCTCACCTCTGGTTCGGGCACAGGGCTGCAGGTGGCAGTATGGAGGCTCACCTGGAAGCCCAAGCTGCACAGCAGGGCTGCGAAGGCATCCACCAGCAGGAAGCAATAGCCTTGATGCGGCAGAATCAATGGATATCAACGGATCGATTTGGATCTGAAAACCGGAAACAGGGGGCTCCTAATTGTTTCCATTGAAATTGAAAATCTATTGATCCATTGAATATAGATAATATAGGGGGTTCCGTTTGGTCCAGAAGCTGGGATTGTGCCAAAACAACTGTAGCATCATCGGCCAGCTCGGCCTGGGAGATGGGAGTTTGACACTAATCACTCAATCCCTGTAAGTGTTATCATTTGATATCAATATCAATTGATCTTTTTGCCACAGCCTACCCTGTCCTGGTTGAACTTTACCGCTCCATACCGCTTGTCCCTCAACCCCTCGCGGCATGTCAAGTGTCCACCACGTCCCTTCGCCACACGCTTGACACTCTCTTCAAAGCACAGCGGCGGCAAGGGTCGGCGCAACTGCAGGTCCAAATTTTCATAGATCACACCTGTTGAGTCAGCTGGATATTCTGCTGAAGGTTTAGCTGTCGGCTTTCAAGTTCTACCAATGCTTCTAGGACACGATCCACATGGGCCGCCAGCAAGGATTGAAGCGATTCCAAGGTGGGCGCGCAGCGGCAAAGTTGCAATCGCCCCAAGTATGCATCGACCAAAGCCTCCTGAAGCACCCACGCTGAAATACGGCCCAAGTACACACACGACGACCGGTAAAACCACCATGTCATCCATATCCCCTTCCAGGCTCCGGGAGGCTCCGTTGAAGATAGACCTGGCCCTCCTGCTTGCAATGTCTCACCGTACAGAGCTCCATTCCAGGCGCTGCCATGGCGAAGCGTCACTGCTCAGGCACAAAGGGCCACAGATTCTGGATGAACATTGTGGATAGTTTTGGCGGTAACTAAATAGATGTAACTAGGACCACCCAATAATATGTTTTGATATTTTTTGTGGCCTCCAATTTGGATCACCCATGTGGCAAAGTGCAAACTGGAAATTCTGGTATGAGTATGTATGAGTCAGTTTGAAAATACAAGGCAAACCAAGGAAGGCAGTATTAGGCAATACTTATATTGCTTGATCTGAAAAGACAAGGCCACCAAACATTTCCGGAACTTACAACTGCTCATCTGCCAGTTGGACCGCCATTGACGCGCCGGATAGGAAAGGACCCTGTGCACCGAAGGACTCCATCGCCACAATTTCAACGAGCCCCAAGTTACCCAGTTGTGAACTTGTTGACAGAAGTGACAGCACTTTTTTAACAATCTTCTACAACCCATCACCTACAAAATTTGTTGCGGCCCACTGCACATCACTGCACCTTGTTCATTCAACTTCTTCAGCAAGGACACCATGCAGGCCGAAGGATTGCGTCTCTTGAACGATGACCTCGCCATCGAGGATTCGCCATTTTTCATTCCCTGTTCCGCCACTGAGGATCTTTTGTGGAAATCTGTTTGAAAGCAATTGATTGTTTGAAACTAACAAGCAGATTTGCTGTTCGGGATAGTTATTTCAGGATATGGGATGTTGAAAGTTACACAAATAGACTGTGTCACTTGTCCTTTCCAGGATACCTTCTATGCTTTCCAGCATCGTCCCCAGCTTGGTAGATTCCGTCCATTTCAAACAGTGCTGCTCCTAACATCTCAGATACCAACGGTGGAAATTCGGTGCTAAAGCTGTAGAATGAGCCATTTCTCAGACTGATGGCATTAAGCTGCCTATGATATCCACAATAGATTGGAGAAATAACCTGAATGATCAATGACTGAGCCACCCTGGCGTTTCCCACTGACTAAGGGCTTCCAGGGCAATGTCAGGATCCGCTCTTCGAAGTTGCGCCTAAACAATGGATTTCTCCAGGGAAAATATGGAGTTGATATAAGTTGATCAACAGAAATGAGATCCCCATGGGATTGTGATGGGGATGATGTGCATGTTCTAAAATTCCACTCGAGGCACCGAAACCTGCATGTTTGGGGACAACGATGGACAAAGTATTTCTTAGCTGACGCTATCCTCGAGTATCAAGGGCTACTCTTAGTCTGCTCCAGGGACCGGAACCAACGTGATTTCCAGTATTCGACTCAAATGTATCCATGGATCACATCAACTCTTCCACCAGATGGATTTATGTCATGGAGCATATGGATGATTATGGATGCATATGGTCTTTCAGATCTTGCGAATGTGAGATCCATCAACGCTTTAGCGTTTGTAGCATATTGTAGCCCTTGACCTCTGCATGCTCATCCAGTTCATCGGGTTTCAAAACGCCACGATCCTGGCAGTCCGTGGGGCACGACCCTTGGTACCTGGTACTGCCCCACGGGGGCCACAAACCACTCGAACTGGCGACCGAAACTCCAAGGTTTGCCATGATTTACCATGATTACGCTCGTGAAAGTGGTGCTTTCCGAGTTTGTATAGATCACCTGTTACCCCAGATTCATGGATGGCGTGACCAACAAAAGAGGAGATGACAACTACTAGTAGCTGAAAATGGGAAACACATTGAAAACAATGGCTGGCAGCTCTGAGCTTTTGTTGATCATGTCATCACGATGGTTTCAGGGAAAAATCTCCAAACAAAAACCATGGTTTTCCCCATCAGATATGAGGGTTTCATGGGTTTCCTGCAAATTTTCGCTAAATCCCATCCAAAAGAATATAATTCCACTGCGAACATGTGGGTCTACCAGGCTGCCACAGCCCTGCACACCTGCATCTCCCGGAGGCGTTCCTGCAGCGGAAAGCACGGGAAAAGGTGAGACTCACATTGATAGAGATCAACTAGTTGCATGTCATGAAAATATAGTACGGAAATATTGTTTTTAGAGAAAAAAAAAACTATATATATATATTATTATCATTATTGTTATTACTATTATTATTATCATTATTATTACTATTATTATTATGTCATGAAAATATAGTACGGAAATATTTCTTTTAGAAAAAAACTATATATATATATAATAAAAATAATAATTATTATTATTATTATTGTGATTATTATATATATATACAGTATATGTATATGTGCATTATCAATTTACATATATATGATGCAGCCTCCCAGGTCCCCCCCCAAAGGGTATGGGTATATAGGTATAGGGCTATGGGTATACAGGAGCTATGTTCCCCGACCCCCCCTGTGGGTGGGTGGGAGTGTGGTTATATATATATATATGTATTATATATATATATAAGTAAATATATATATATATACATATGTAAATATGTATGTGTATGTATAAATATATATATATATATGTGTGTGTGTATGTGTGTATGTGTGTATGTGTGTATGTGTGTATGTGTGTATGTGTGTATGTGTGTGTGTATGTATGTATGTATGTATGTATGCATGCATGTATGCATGTACGTAGGTAGGTAGGTAGGTAGGTAGGTAGGTATCTATATGTATGTATATGTATCTATATATATATGTATGTATGTATGTATGTATGTATGTATGTATGTATGTATGTATGTACGTATGTATACATGTATACATGTATACATGTATACAATATGTATATATATATATATATGAAGTAGATACATAGCACCTGTATATATAACTATAGGATACTATAGGTAGCACGTAGGTACTTTGAGGGAGTATGTGTGCTACGTATGTACCTAGTAAATGCGAGGCTGGTAGTCAGGATCGCTGCAAAAACCTAGCAAATAGGAGGGAACGGGGTGCTACCTGGGGACCCATCCCATTGGGGAGGGGGGGACCTCGTGGGCGGAAGACGGGATCATGTATATATATATATATATACATATAATCATACAATATTATAGAGTATGTATAGATATATATATATATGTCTATCATATAATATATCATATATATATATATATACACACACCGTACACGTGACTACTATATGTCTATGTCTTGGATCTCCCAAACTCCACCGTCTCGTTGTTGTGTTTTTTCGCCCCGTCCTCAACCATCTCTGCCGTGGTCTCCATGGCCTCGTGCCGCGCAGGTTGGGGCCAAGATTTAGACAAGAAAGATCCATCAAACAAGGATTAGATCATATTAGATTCCCAAATATTCCAACATGTTCTTGGAATTTATGATATTTATGGATTTGATTTCATGGACCCCCTAAAATTGGGTGTCGAGCAAAACTATGTTCCAGAATCCGCAGAGCCAACCAGAAGCCCTGGATAAGATGAAGAGACAGCAAGATGATACTATTGTCGTCGTCGTCGTCGTCATCATCATCATCACTATCACTATACAATGAGCATCCTCATCATTGTTGTCATTACTATCATTGCTGTCATCACTGTCATTACTATGAATCGGTATAATCATCAGTATAATTATTGTCAGCACCATCATTCTTAACATTATCCTTAGTATTACCATCATTTTTTGCAGTACTGTCATTAATATTACATATTGCTATAATTTGCTATATATATATGATTATATATATATATCAATATCATAATATATAATATTGTGTGTGTGTGTGTTAGATGATGATTTACACCGATCGTCATCATTCCTCAGAGATTCTGCCCATGTCATGACCCCTCCACTCCTCAGCTTCCTCCCGCGAGGTCGGACAGATCGAAACCGGAACGCTGCCGAGCCGAGATGGCGAGATGGCGAGATGGGCAGAGTCTGGTGGTTTCAAGGCACCCAAGGGGTTGCTTTGGCACCAGAAAATGACCGGGAAACCGTCATAAACATCATGAAATCTAATGGTTTATCATGGTCGATTTATCGTCATGTTCCATAATTCTAGCCAAAGAATTGGGAAGACCAAGAATTTGATTCGATGGATCTAGACCCACAGGGAGATCAACCTGACCTCCACCTGGAAGGGAGTATTGCTGAGGTTGATAGGGGAATTCAGTGATGTTTGTTTGAAGATTACTTCAGAATATAATTTAGTTAACATATATTATGAAGTAATCATTGCCTTCATTTGTAGTTGTCTGGGTTAATGTAAATTTATGTATTACGTATATACGTAATTGTACGTATAAATTTAATTAAAGCGTTCCAAGTTTCACTTTGTCATACTATCAAACAATGTTCCGTGAAGGTTGTCAAACACAAACTAAATATGTTAAAGCATGGCTCACGCTTCAATTTGCACTGTAACACAGCCACATGATAGTGGTTCGCCAGTGAAAGTTCACAAACTACAGTATTTGACGGAAAATACAGCAAACCCTTCTGGGCACCCGGCCAAAGCAAATGAAGAATAAGTTGATGACCAGAAAACGGCGGGCAACTGATTGAAGGAGACGGTAAAAACCCCAACGACCTCAACAAAACCTACCTGTATCTGAACCAAACATTAAGTGAAGCTGTTTGACGCATGATCCCCCCAAACCCCCACACAAAAAACATCAAAAGCAAGGAACAAACATGAACCTCAACATAAAAACATAACAGGCAACGTACATACACTCCCTAGAATCACCCTTTTCTCATTTGTTTCACCCTGGGCTGCCATTCTGGTGGACTTTGGGGGTAACCAACTTTGCAACGCAGAGTCCCTGTATTCGAGCATGAGACTGCATCGTTTTTATGACTTCTCTTTAAAGAGAATAGCTCACCTCCCCCGTTGGCCGTGTGCTTCTGTTCGAGGAAACGGGAACAGGTCTGACAGCGTAGATTTCTCAAGGCGGTCCTCAAAAACACACCTTTAGGGCCAAAATCTGTCGAGTGGGAGAGGGAGCAACAACCATGCACTGGTCTTTTGGTGTACATGCCACTAGGTCTTGCATGCACTGTGCAAAACCCATGACAGGCACTGGCGCTGAGACAAAGAACTAGCTCAAATCATAAAATGCTTGCATGTGATTGATAACATCCCAGAATTAGATGAGCAAAGTGGCGCCATTGCCAATAATGAAACCTAGCTAACAACTACAAACATCTGATCGCCAATGAAGCAATCATATTGAGATTCTCCATGCAGAATAGGATCAGAAGCCTTGCGACCTTGCGAGGCGGAACAATGACCAATTCCACCCTGTGTCCAGCAGTTGGAATTCATTCTGGAAGAAATCCACTCTGAGAATCGAACATGGCAATGGAAAATCCCCCATTGATACATGATTTCCCCATTTAATGCCTATTTATAGTGGATTTCCAATTGCCATGTGTGATTACCGAATGGTATCTTCCATTTGTATAATCTTCTATCCAGACTCCGGACCGATCATACACCTAATTAATCCTAATTATTGGTTTGTCTTAAAATGTAGGATGCCTTCAAAATTGTCCTTTTTTATCAAGAAGCGGATGATAAACCATGAAAATCCCATGAAATTTAGGGAACCATATTTTACACCCAGGTGCATGTGCAAACAGATGCTATCAAATGCCATACGGCACCTACACAGGTTGCGAGGGATAAATCGATAGTCCGTAGAGCCGAGGATGATAGATCACCAAAAATTGCCACCATTCGTCGGATCTACAGTTAACAGCACAGTATCACCCCAAAGATATCAAAAAATATGTTGAAATGATCTGAAATGATGCCTATCCATCCCTATCCATCCCTATCCTTGGCAATCTTTTGGGGCTGAACAATCCTGACGGTGGCCTTACAGCACCTTGGCAAAGGTCTTCTTCAAGTCATCTCCATTTGGACTTGGTGCGTCGCGCGAAAAATTGCCGGTGGACACACATGGATGATTAATGATAATTAGTGATGGTTAATGATGATATCATATTCTATCATGCAAAACTGTGCAGTACTACCTCTAAAGTCTAAAGTAATAATTATGTTGCAATATCATATATGAATATATAATATATATGATCAATTATGATCATGTATGCTTGGCGCACTGCAAGGAAGTGTTCCTCCGAAAGCCATGCTTGGCGAATGTTTATAGCGCTTCCTACGGAGTATCGTAGCCTCCAGTCATCAAGCTCCGGCTCCACCATTTTTTGCCTCGCTGTGTCAACCTGTGCAGCCTGGGCTGCCATCTTTGGATGCAATCTTTTTCGCTGCATGATAAAGAGCAGCACTTGGGCATCTGGTGGCCCATAGCTTTGCTGGAGGCACACATCAAACCAGGGCTCTAAAGCCTGCCAAGGTCGCAGTTGAAGGTGCACCATTGGGCTTTGAAAAGGTTGGCTAGGGTCAAAAGTTGTGTGCGCGCATGTCCTACATTGGATGGTGCATTACTGCAATACTATCAAAATGACCCAAACTTGTGGTTCCCTGCGTCAGAAATCTTGTCCCGTGCCCATTTGATCCAAATCACTGCTGCAATTGATGATACGGAAAAGTCAGTTTCTACAAAATGTTAACCCCAGCATATTTTCAGGCTTCCATCCTGGTTTCTTGAAGGGGTGGATTTTCCGTCCCGGAACGATCTGCGCCTTCATGGGATTCTCCGCACAGCTTCCCGTGTCACTTCGCACTTTGTGAGCCAGTAGCAAGGTGGCATTCAGCCCGGTGAGTTGCAGCACGGTGTCTTTGAGCTTTGGAAGTGCATTCATGTTGTAGCACCTCAAGACAGAAGAATGGCTCCTTTTCAAAAGTCTCTTGCAAAGTCTTTCGGAAGACAAATTATAAACAACTTGGCTCCCATCAGGTCACAACGTGCTCCCAGATCCTCAAAGAACAGGGTTCCCGGTGTTCCTGGTGTTCCCTGTTAGTTTTGCCACCAATTCTGTGCCTCCAGTTGTGCTTGTCAGTAGGGTACTGGGGTACCCCCAAAAATTGATGGTGAATTGTTGGCCATGTTACATCATTTTCGCGTGTCCCCCATGTTTTAAACAACCCCCAAGGACCCCCAATGTCTTCTTTCCCCATGTTCATCCCTTTTCCAGAGGCTTAAATCACTTTAAATCGCTGTATGAGATCATGTTTGCTACTAAAATCAGCATTTGTTGCTATAGCTACTTAAATGAGCATTTTCATTGTTAAATCACCATGTTTTTTCCACCACCTCCCCGAAGCTGAAAAATGCCCAGGGCACAGGTCCGACATCAGCAGCACATCAAAGGTGCTTCCCAGTTGCTGCCGGGTACGAAGGCGATCCTCCTCCAACCCCCAGTCCTCAAGATTCAATTTACATCAATTTACCATGAAAAATATCGGATTTGACCATGAAAAAAAAGGATTTGACCATGAAAATGTTGGGATGCCTCTGAGGATTTACCATCAAAAATAGGGATTCAGCCCGTTGAAGCAAATATGTTCAAAAAGGGAAAAAGCCTATTGACATCATCCCAACATATATAAAACCCAAGCAGACCCCAATGTTAAAATATATCCTCAGCCTTGCTGGCTCATACCAAGGGCCGGTATTAGCCAAGGATGCCATCTTACTCGACAAGACAAGAGCTGTTCTGTGGCATAACTACAAAAATCGTATCTGGCAAAAAGAGAGGGAAGAAAAAAAAACGGAAAAAAAAATAAACAATGAAATGACCGAAAGCGACACGAGCCCTGCAAGAGCCTCTGGCTAGTTGCACTTGAAATGCCTAGTGAAATAGGTCAGAGCCAATTCAAACACCCTCTTGACAAGCTTGAGGACAATTCGTACAGACAATTAATTATTAATTCCATTAGTTAGGTGTTTCCAATCTGCTCCATTCACAGGGAGCTTCGTTCAGTTGATCTTGGCATAGTTCCAGGATGTCTGCGGATAGGGAAAATGATGATTGACCAGTGGAATTTGACGGATTTGGGTGTTTTCCCCTAAATTTTCAGTCAAACCCTTAAATGATACTGATAATGATTATTAGATACACCAAAGTTGTGACTCATGATGTCTACATTCGACTTATATTCGAAGATCAATATCACATCAGGCTTCGGTGTCTGGGTCCAAGGATCAAGTTCAATGATAGAAGTCTGCAAGTCTGGACAGTTGGCCTTGACATTCAACGAGATCAGTGGCAGTACTGCCTTCTTGTCGCTGAAATAGGTGTGACACGCTTTCCCTTCTGGGGCTTCAGCTGCGACCAGGGCAGCCACGATCCCAACCAGACCACAACCGCTTCCCAGCTCTAGGATTGTGGAAGCTCCAAAGATGGCAGATCGATGTGGATTGTTCTTGGAAGCCAACCAATGAGCCAAGACAATGCCTGGTTCCAACAGCAAAACAAGAACAGTGGAAAAAAAGGCACCTAGAAATTGGATCTAGCATTGATGCTATGATCAAAGATGATCAAAGTACACAAGCTCAGCCAAAACGAGTGCCCCTTCTATCTGGAGGTTTCCTAAAAGGGTAGTCCCAAATCATCCAATATCACCCAACATTTGTTGGTATATTTGTTGGTATATTTGAGTATTAAAACCAATGCTACCAGGGTGATTTTGCCATTTTAAGAACCCAAAAAAAAGCCACATCTGTCCCCAAGGCACCGGCATCCCACAAGCGTCCACCCGTTGGCATCTCTGAGCTGGAGATTTCCTCGCGGATCTGCAACACTTGGCCCCCAAGGTCGAAGCACCGGAAACTGTGTTCGCTTTCCTGCCGTGGAAAGTAATTTTTGGGGCTCCCTTTTTAGGCCAACCCTTAAACACCCAGAAAATCATCCCAATGATATGGAATTTCCCTACCAAACCATGGTTTCTAGGGGGTGTTTAATGTTAGGGGGATGGGACTACAATGCCATGGTGTTGCCAACAATGGGAGTCAACCATAGATTTCTACGTGACTCTGCAGGATTTCACACGTCTTTATTGTCTTGCCCAAACACATCACGTTACCGCTTTGGAGAGCACGCATGAATCAAGATCCGATGTGTCTAATCCATCTAATCCAACAAAATGTAGATCGATATATATATATATATGTGTGTATATGTATATGTATAATATGTGTATGTATATACATATATTCGTGGATCACTCATGTGGAAAATCTCCAAAGCCTTGCGGAAAGGTGTTCAAGACTTTTGGACCTCAAGATGCCAACTGCCAACCCATCAGGCCCATCAGGCCGCTCCTGGGCTGGTGCATCCAACGGCATGGACAAACAGCAGAGGCAACCTCTGCACAGAAAGAGGTCAGGGTCGCCCAAGGTTTCCACAGCAGCCAGGTGCCTGAGCACATGGGCACCCCCTTACCATACCATCCTTAATTTATAGACATAGAAGCACATACTATCTGTATACACTATATAGAATCAGTTATAACTATACTTAGAATTAGAATATCTTAGAATTAGGTATGTACATATATATAATTGTATATATATATAATATTGTATACAATTATATTATATATCACAAGTCATTTGCATGATCAAGGCTCCCATGCTTGATCCAATGAAGGGACTATCCACCGCTGCCACGCTGCTCTGAGACCTCGGTCAGATCCTTCCGGCGCCGCTTGGGGCTGCGGAAGGCCACTTTCTGTCGCGCAGCAACCAGCAGCTGGACATGGCCTGAGATGGGATGCGTTGCCTATGGGGCACTTTTTGCCATGCTGTGCGGTGCTAAAATCTGTATATATATATATATTAATGTTCATTATATCATATATATAATTATATATATACATGCGGTGTACATGTTGTGTACGGTTGCATATAAGATCATAAAAGTGTGTCTGAAAAAATGATGTTTGGAGTTTGAACGATATGTCGTGACGTGTGGCTCACATATTGACAAAAAAATCGGACCCCGATGATGACTCCATATGACTCCGCAGCAAAAAAAGAACAAATGCATAAATATGCATAGAATTGCATAGATATGGTTTGTGTCGGCAGATGAAACCCCTGGGCTTGAAGGGTTACAAGATGTTACAAGAGTCTCAAATATGAGAAACTCAAAAACACCGAGTGCTGTGACTTGAAGTCTAGCTTTTCACGGCAGAGAAAGTAGTACCACTCCTCGCATGTGACCGCATCTGATTCATCTTCCAGGTGGCTGAAATCCAGACCCGTATTCCTTGCATCTACATGCCCAAACTGTAAAGTCTCATTCCCTTCAAATCCTATGGCCATCTGCCAGGCCGCTTCCGTCAGAAAGGCCCTCTGGCAGTCGACCTTCAACTTCAGCTTCCACTCCTGGGATGCAACTGCAACTTGAGACCAGTTGAGCCTGCCCCCAGGATGAGACAAACTGGTTTCATAAAAACAGCTGTCGCCAAGAGACCACCACACACGTCATGCAACGTGACCTTCATATCGCGAAGGCCCACATTGAGGCAATGCTGTCCCTGGACGAGAAGAACGTCCAGGTCAAACTCAATGGGCAACGGCATGAACATCCTGATCAAAGGCTTGGCAGGAATTGATGGAGGGTTGTACCCTCATCATTATTAAATTTATTAATGAAATTGTGCATCCTATTGCAGAATATGGCATGGGTTTATGATGGTTTATGGTTGATGGTGGCTATAAATGGCCCTTAAATAATCCCCTGAAATACTTCCCCCGCAAGGACAGGATGTCCCGGGCAGAGATGGGCCACTCTCAGAGCTGTAGAACTGCCGACTGCAAAACCAGCTGCAGAACCCTTCAAAAGCTTAGTCCAGTGCACTCAGGAAACAAGGATGGAGAAATTTGGAGAAGAACGGATTTCCCAGATACTTGGAAAATCATCATCCATCCATTACATCTATGATACTTTGATCGATCATTTAACTTTGACAATCCTGGATTCAAAGAAAAAGCCTTCACCATATTTCAACCATCAGTCAAATCCAAGTGTCTCATTGGTCAGAGCCACCGAGAAACGAACTTTGTCACTGGTTGCACGCGGCATGGACCAAAAGTAGGTCCGAAAGACCATGCTGAGAGGATCAGGCCCGCAGAACGCTCTGCAAAGCAACCCCTCCAATTTTCCTTTGGACTGGGACTAATTCCAAGCTACAAATGTTTCTATTTGCATATTCTTCTACAGTAAATCTATCTAAATCTGTCTATTTGACTGTCACTGAAGGGTATGAAGAGGGGTGCCTGCGCCGCTCAGCTTATCTGCATTTCATTGCAAGATTCAAAGTATCAGTCAATCCAACATCGTTCTTCATCCATAGAAACGCCATCATCCCATTTTTCCTTGCTACTATCCAACTGTTTCCCATCAACTCCAACGTCACCATGCCCATGTGCTTCTCTGCTGGTGGAAATCGGATCTAAGCAGCTGCAGGTCATCGATTCACATGTCTGCTTGGATCTTTGTCAACAGTAGCATCAAAAATTGTGTCTATAACACACCTGACCCACGCCCCTGCGATCTTGGAGTCTAAGTTAAGGGGGTAATTATATCATATTAAATTATATCATATTATATCATATTATATCCCAACATACAACCAAGCAGAATAAACCATTTCGGGTGCATCTTGGAGTTTGGACAAATTCTTACCCCTCCTCAACAGTCGTTTCCTCCCAATAATCAGCTGGGCCACGCAAGGGAGGCCAAATTCCGCACCATCTGCAAGCAGGGTCAATTTGAAGACCCTCAAGGCGAATCTTTTTTTAGTGATGTACCTACTCTGTGTGGTTGATGATCATTTCAGGTTGTAAGGCTTCCTCGTGACTTTCCGAGTGGTGCAAGTTCCAAAAATGCCGCAGATTCTTTAGCTCAAAGTGTCGAAACAATGTGGAGCACTGATGCAACCATTTTACTAAATTCATCAATATAAATTCCACCATATTCCACCTGTATTCCAGAGTTGGCGGCCTCCATTCCATCAGTTTCCCCTAAAATACCGTGGTCCCCAAAGGGGGTACTTGTGGGAGCTCTGCACAACTGAGAAGCACTAAATTGGGGCTGGACTTCTTTGCGTTGTTGGGCACAAACTGCTAGGGAGTGATTTCTTCGAGCAACAAACATCTGGGTATGAAGAAAATGAAAGCAAGAACTTCATAAAATCATATAAAATCAACATGCTAAAAAGTACTCAACCATCACCTTACCATTGCCATATTGCAAAATGCCGTCACCTCTTTCTCTGAAGTACTCAGCATCGAAAATTGCGTATCGGCTGTATGAGTCCTTGCCGGGGCGGTCCTGGATTCACCCCTCAAAAAATCACCCAGTATCATCCAACCAACCGATAGTCACCGATAATAAGTGGCAGTGTGTCAAAACCTTGTACCCCTGGTGAACATCAAAATAGCTGGTAAATGGATGGTCATCCCCCTAAAAATGGTATTAATAGGTATTGATCCATAGCCAAGTGAACATCCTCAAGCCAATCCGGATCTTCGGGACATTCCCAGACCCCGTCCTCAAGAGCTGTTGGAGGTACTCGCCAACCCGATCTCCGGTCAGGGGTTCAGCCTCATCGCTTGCAGCAGTCCTGGCCATGGCATCAGTTGGTGGGCCAAAGATGGAGGGGGCGATGATCATGGTCCAAGCCACTGAGTGCAGATGATGTCACCATTTTTGAATCTTTGACAAACAAGTTGTGACAATGAACTGAGTTACGACAAAGAGCTGAGAAAAACTGTGGCGTCAGGAGGTTGATTTCATCATATTCAATCGCTCTCTTTTTTCCGGCGAGTTTTCGATCGTATTTGCCAATGGCAATAGTTGATATCCACAAAATCGCAAGGCAGCCGTGCCCAGCCGTGCCCAGCCCTTGACCTGGTAAGAACCCAAGTCACAAGGCACACTAAGCGAATGAACACTACCCAGCGAGTTGAGGTCAATGTGTAGCAGTGAAATCACGACGCGAATGACCTGTTCCAATGTCCTGTGATGCAGTTCTTCGCTATGTTTCTAATTTCATGATCTATGCCATGTCGGTGTTGGTCTCCATTGGTCTCCATTCCAATGATCTCCTGGGTTAACGGTGAACAGATTGACGCTTGGGCAGTGAGCCAAGTGGCGGCTCACTTTCCATCTGGAGGCTTCCAAGAAGCAACCACCTGCAAGCTGTGGCTGGGATATCTTATTCTCCGGCCTAAACTCAGGATGGCTTTCACTACCAAAACCCCCGCGTGAGCTGTTCTCCTACACCAAAACGGGAAGTTGTTCAATTCCGTTCAAGGATTGTTTCTAAAATTGGAAAAGCCACCAGCGCACCGTGGCTCTCTCGTTGAGTTCCCTTCCCTGAGCCTTCCAAGTGCCCGGTTCTCTTTTGCAGCTTTGAAAGCCAAGTTCCTGCCAAAATGAGACGGTTTCAAAACCCCTTCAAAAACTGCCTCAACTTCAAGTCGCCGATCTGAATCTGGAGGCCTGGTAATGTTTTTTCATAAACATTGACTTGAAGATCTTGAAGCATCTTACCCAAAATTACCCAAAATTACCCAACCTTGACGTCAAAGATCTCCAACGTCCCATGGTCCTAGGATGTCCTAGGACCCCTCAGGCCTGCGCAGACTCCAGGAATTTGGGCATCATCCTGCACCCGTGGCACCCGTGGCACCCATGGCAGCCATCACAAGTGCAGCTATGACGATGTACCCTCTGACTCTGCAGTCCACTAACCTGAAAACGGAATAAATATAAAAAATAAATAAATAAATAAATAAATATATATATATATATAATAAATATATTATATATATATATTACACATATATTATATCCGTCAATAAGGAACCTGGGTAATCCCCATGTTTAAAAGACTGGCAATTCATCTAAGTGTGGGGGTTCCGACTTGTCAGTTTTTCTGGAAGTATCAAGTTTCAAACCCGACTTGAAAAATCACGCATTTGATTTGGTGAGTTGGGTCGGGGCAGCTTGGACATGTTCATCTCATCGACCTATAGCAACTCTATACTGGCAAGATTGTTATGAATTCCTGCTTCAAAATGTCATGTGAATTGTGGTATCCCCAAGTCTCGGACAAACCGAAGTATCATACGATATCATGTTCTTGATTATATACTCCATTATATATACCATAAAGCATCTCCATTGTATCCCCATAATATGAGGTTTTTTTCCGTATATTATCCACCAACAATTGTTCATAAATTTGATGCCATATAGCCTATAGCCATATATTACGGTAGTATAGTCTCTTATGAATACACTTGAATATTCGGTAACATAGTCCTAATGCAAAGATAGCCATATATGGTATCGTATAATGTGTATATATATATATACATATATACATATATATACATATATACATATACATATATACATATATATATATACGTATATGTATATACATATACATATAATTATACAACATATATGCATATATGCATATATATATATACATATATATATATACATAGCCATATATATATATACATAGCCATATATATATACATATACTGTAGCCATATATATATATATATGTATTGTGTAGTGTACAGTAAAGGTTTCCTGAAATGGGGGTAGCCCCTTCTTAGGCCGGGACGACTCCAGAAGCTCGGCAAAGGAGACCGGAGTGCCGCTGACGAACTCTTGGGTCACTCCCCGGTGCGCCTGGTGGAGGGGGATATCATGGTGCTAGACTTGGAAAATGATACTGCAGATAGCTAGATAGTTAAATAGATATATGTGTATATAGACATATGTATATGTCTCTATGTATATACATATATATATATATACATGAATATAAGGGAAAAAATATATATATATATCTCACACTAGTGCTTGCTGAACGCACTGTGGATCAAATTGCAAAGGCTGATGCAAAGGGCAGTCGCGCGACATTTTCACAGCATTGCAACATGGCTCAAATGGCCGTCTGCGGATGAAAAGGAAAACGGGCGTGGGGCATTTCGAGCCCGGGCCACGTAGTCGAACACCTCAGGACACCGCAAATGAAGATTGAGGTTGCGCATGTTGAATCTTCACACTGGTCTTTGTTTGAGGTGTTGCTTTCTGCGTGGATCCACTGTGCTTGCTGGTCTTCACCTTGGAGCCCTGCGCGTCTTCATCTCGAAGTTGGCACCATGGATTCATACACCAGCGGGTAAGGATCTCTCGCAGTTTTGCATCGATCTTGGTGAGGCCATCCGCATGCATAAGGTGCGTTGGAATCCAGTGCACTTGCTTTGGAGACATAGCTTGCTGCACTGAGCGGATTGACACCATCGATCGCTTCTCAGAAGTGCTTGGGTTTTCGGCTACTAGGCAGTCATACAGGCTTTTGGCATCAGTTGCTTGTTTCATCGGCATTTCCATTCTGGCCTTCTGTGCAGGAATGCCGAAAAACAACTCCGTCAGGTAGTAGTTGATGAAGCATGCCCTGTCAGCAGCTTCGTCTGCTGCATGAGCCTCTGCTGCCAGAGTGCTGCGAGCAACGCGTTGCATGCGTCCGCTCTTCCAGTCAACCAAAAAACCAAAGCATGTCGTCTCCGAGACTTGTGCCGGACATAGCACAATTGCAACGCCATACTGCGAAGTAAAGTTTGCAGCATTGCACCAGCTGGAATCCCCATAGGCCAGGATCGTTGTGGTGCGATTCAAAGGCACTGCAGGCATTCGAATGCCACAATCACTCGTCGCTTTGGCGTAGTCTACGGCCTCGTAGACCTTCTGCAAGTCGCTGATCTCGGTGTTGGAACCTCTGTGAGCCAGCGAAGCCACAGCTGCTAAATCTGGCCTTGTTTGGCCACTCAACCACTGAAGACTTCCGACCACTGATCTGAATTCGGCCATCTCCTTGTCGTTCAGCTTGCCGCCTTCTTTGACGCGGGCAGATGGCACTTTTCCGGAGTCCATGGCCTTGATGAACTTGGTCTGAGTCACCACATAGCTGTAGCGGCCATTGGAATCCTTGGTCATTTGGATTTCTTTGCCACGGTATTCACCTGGTGTTTGCTCGGTGATCAAAGTCGTAGATCCCCACTTGAACATATTCTCAAGGATCTTCAAGTCAAAGGTCTCGGTGTTGAAGACAGCCATGAAGTCATCGACATGGACGATGAGGAGGCAGGAGAGGTTGCCATCTGCATCCAAAAAGTAGTAGCAGCAGCGGTCAAGGCTGTGTCTGTGAAATTTGCCTTTGATCAGGTCTCTGTCAACCTGCTTGTACCAGGTGCGAGGTGCATTACTCAGTCCATAGCAATTGCCTGTGATCTCATAGAGGCTTGCAGGATACGCTTGTGCAGCGTTCAGGATGTCATCTCGGGGGCTCTGCATGTAGATTGGGCCGTCTCGTTCTGTGTCATCCTGGGAACCCTGCAAAAAGGCTTTCTCGGCGTCTGACAACCACATAGACCATCGGCTTGTAGAGTTGCCGAATTCACCGTTGGCGCCTGCTGTTGCCACGGCTAGTAGCACAAATTCAGACACTCTTGATGGCGTAGGGCTGTCTCGGCTCAGCTGTCGCAGGTCTGGATCTGAGCATCCAATGATGACCACTCGGGTCTTTGGCTTCAGTGGTGGAACTCCGCGGTTTTTGTCGCGGTAAGCTGCACGTGATTTCATCACCCGACGTCGAAGTCTGGGGTCTGACATCACCTGTTGTTCTTCTGCTTTGCTCAGCGGTCGGATGCCGCCCCATGCTAACCAACCAGCATATTCACTTGCAGCACTGTCGACGTACTTCTGGAAAGTGTCGGGATCTGATCCGGCAATTTCGCGCCAAGGGATCTCCCGGTCCAACTGCTTCAACTCTTGGCGAGACATTCCGCGCTGGTTTGACAGCACGAGCTCATCGTCAGAGGAATCATGGTCAGGCTGACTTGGATTGGACATGCCGTTCATCTCGACGGCTCTGTGATCGCTCACAAGGTAGGCCTGATAGAAGTTGTCGGCACGTGGATGTGGGAAATCTAAGTTGCATCCACCATCCCAATAAGGCTGCATCAGCTCAAGGTCTTTGTTGTCGCACTGGAAGAGGTTGGTGAGCATGGCATCAGCTGGTCTCTTCATTGGGAGTATAGGCAATTCTTCGGCGATTGCTGTTGGTTCTGCTTCAATTTCAGGCAGTTGGCTTGGTTGAGAAGGTTGCGCTGCTTCTGCTGGTCTTTGTTTTGCCAGTGAAGTCTCTTCGGCAGGAGGTACTCTGCTTGGCGTTCTTGATCTGGGTCGATTTCTTGGTGTTGGTGGGACTGACCCAAAATCTGATCTTCCTCCATACCTGGTGTATGTAGGTGAATCAACCCTCACGTTGATGGTGCGCTGGTCAATGTAGGTGTTGGTTTGCTGTTGCTGTTGCGATAGGTGTGTAGGTAGTTGTGGTGGTGCTTCGCCATCACGTGGTGATTGGAGACCTGCTTGCTCTTGTTGTTGCACTGGAGGAGGTTGAGCAAGCGACCCGGGGATCGTAGCCAAGTCCAGGGGCTGTCGATCCGGGGGTATGCCAGAAAGTCCATCGGCATATTGGTCTCGTTGAAGGTTCTGCTCTGGTGGTTGTTGTTGTTCACCTGAGAGCTCTGGCAATCGGTTGGCACGTTCTTGGGTGGGTCTAAAGTTGAAAATCTCCTCATCAGCAATGGCCATATCTTCATCTTGAGGAGGTTCGCCTTGCTGATCATCCCAAAGTCCATGTGAGATGTTGGTTTCAGCATCGCGGAGGAGTTTGATATCATCTTCAGAAGGAGTCCAAGTCTCCCATCCAACTGCTACTCGAACTTGACCAAGGCCAATGCGAGTTGATGTCTTGCCAACCTGTACCCAGCAGGAACGTTTGTCAGGGTCGAAAGCCAAAAATCGACCGAGCGACCAACTGCCGCGCTTGTGTTGTCGAGCTCGTCCTTGCCATCTCCAAAAGGCTATTGTCTGGCCAGGTCGAAGGTGGCTGAGCTCTTGCTGATTGCGTGTCTTCCTCAACAGGCCTCTTCGCACTGATTGAGATGCAGTGATTTGCATCAGAGCTGTAGTGGCTTCAGCTCGCAGCAGTTCTGGTCGAAGTTGGTGGGCAGTCTGGTCGTGTGTGATCACCAGCGACTTTTCATCTGACAAAAGGTCCCCAAGAGGTCGAGGGATCCGGCCAAAAACGCTCTGGAATGGTGAGCGGCCGTGGCTGTATGTTGAGCAGTTCAATTAAAAAGTCGCTGCAATGATTACTGAATCCAAAGCTTCCTTGGAGGTGATGGAATGGTGATCCACGAGTCGTTCGACCAGGCTTCTCATGAGAGTGTTGCGTCTCTCCACCTTGCCAATTCGCCAGTGCTCTTCTGCTGGAATCACTTCATACTCAATGCCATGGCGTTGATGCCATTCTTCGCATTCTCCCAGGTAGGCTGTGTCAGGGTCGACAGTGACATGGTGTGGAAGCCCAAGAGGGTGGTACCAAAGTTGTTGCATCATCTTCAAAACAGTGGCTGGGCTTCGGTCTTCCAAGGTGTGTGCCACTGTATAGTTTGTGAACTCGTCCACCATGCCAATCACTATGTTGTTGTCGTTGAGAGTGCGAATATAGACAATGTCGGATTGAATGCGATCTCCAAACTGACCTGCTGCTATGGCTGTTGTTGAGGAAACTGGTGGCTTCTTTGGAACTGTCAAACGAAGGCAGCTTCCGCATCGCAAGCATTCGATGCCCGTCAACACCCTTGAGGACAAAGTGTTTGAGGCTGCCAAGATGCGAATCAGCTCCTCCTTCGGCGGGTGGCCCATGTTGGTGTGAAGTCGTGCCAATGACTTCTGCAGCTCTTTGTTGAGAGTGGCACCGGCACCTTCAAACCAGATGTCGGTGGTGATGCCTGGAACCCGTTGTTGAGCTTGAGCATCGGCTTCAGAAACTTCTGGTGGTGGAGGTGGCTCTTCATCATCATCTTGTGGGGCCGTTCCAAAGAAGTATATCCCAAGTCGCATGGGATCAGTGTACCTCTGCTTGGGGTAAACGACCTGTGAGAGGTCTTCATGCTCGATCAAGATTTTCCCATTGGACAGTCTGAGCACAGCGCCACGGTGAGTGTAGGCAAACTCAGTGGGAAACCTTCTGACTGATGGTGTCCACGTGACCTGAACTCGCTCAAGTTGCCAGGGGATGAGGTTCTCAATATCTTTGTAGATTGGGTCACTGGTTGCGATGTTGTAGGGCCTTTTGCTGGTGTTTCCAAAGCGCCGCTCCAGCTCATCCAAAATTGGTGACCAAAGCTGCTCATCATTGGAGGGGTGCGCATAGAACACCTTGTTGGCTCTTGCAAAACGTGCTGGGTCTCTGATGCGAGCTTCCTTCTGAAGTCCACGAAGGATTGCATCGACCAGTCCATCGCAGTAGTGGCCACTTGGTTCTGTCTCAGCGCCTTCAATTGGCTTTGCATACATCTTCTGCTCAGGAGTCATTCTCCTTGAGAGTTCTGAGGCAATCGCTGTAGAATTTGTGGTCCAGCGGTGGGTCTTCACAATGGGGTACCCTTGTGAATCTTCAGCGCCATATGCTCCGGCATCGCATTGGGTCATCAGGTTGCCTGGCAATTCAGCAACGGACTCCACTGAAGGTTGAACCCAAATGCGAGAGCGTTGCACATTTTCGCCCAGGTAAAGGCGTCCTTGCTGATGTTGGTGATGCATGAGGTCGGATCCTAAATCAACAAGGACCCGCTCGTCGTTGCGTAGTTCTTCAAGTTCCTGTAACCTGTGGCTGTAATTCATGTTCTCGTTGAACAATGACCAGTAGCGGCAGGGCCAGGCAACGTGAATCAGAAGTGGCTGAAACTTCATGACCACTTGCCAAAGGAACTTGCGGCCCTCTTCGGTTTTCAAGTCCACATTGATGGTCTTGTCCATGGGCTCGAGAGCGTTCAGGTTGAACTTGGGAGCACGGAATGTCAGGTTAGCCGAACCTGCAAACACTTCTAAAAGGTCAATCTTGGGGCCAGTTGCCATTTTCTCCGCATAGGTGAGCAGGGCCTCATAGGTCTTTGTCTCAAAGTCGTAGATCTTGGCCGTGCTCCGGAGATGGCCTGTCAGCCAGGTTTGATTGCCTTTCTTCAACCTATTTGTTCCCATTCGTACTCTGGGCTCTCCACCTCCTCCACTTCCTCGGTTGGAGTTGATCTCTTCTTGCTTGAATTCTTTGGTCTGGCTCCTCGTGGCTGTCTTGTCGCCGTTGACAAAGGTGTTGCTGTGCCCTGCGACGTTGTTTCTGCCGACGACTTCGAGCCAGTCAAGGCCTTCGGACCAGGTGGTCCCGGAGGTGGTGGTGCCGTGGAAGAAGTTGCCATCAGTGCCCAAGCTGGGCGTCGAGCTTTGTCCAGGAAGTTCGAGGCTGTTGAAGATGAAGGCAATGGCAGTGGCTGCCGCTTGGAGGATACCAGGTCTGTCCATCGATCTTCGTCTTCGGACCACTTCCACTTTTTCTCGCACATCAGGCACTTGGCGAAGCTTCCGCTTCGATTCCCATAGCGGTGCATCTTCTCGTGAGCACATGGTTTGGTGGCTTTGTTCAGCAGGGCCTCTTGGAGTTCCATGTCCAACGGGTCTTGGTGTTGGATCCATCTTCGAGGTCGTAGGCCCAGCCGCACTGCTTGCACCATCATGGTGGCCATCCACATCTCGACATGTCGGAATCGGCGAACCATCATTCGCCAGTTCTGCAGCCATGCTGGTGGTGGTCCCTTGTTCATGGGAATCACGGTGTCGTGAATCGAATTGATCGCTTGAGCCTTCTGCAGAGAAATAGAGGAGTTCAGGATCATAGTCGGGTTGCAAACACATCTCATGGTATTGTCTCCACATCTGCGAACTGCTTGCCATCTTCGGAAACTTTGAAATATCCAGTGCTAAGTGGCCTGCAATCTGACAGATGGGCACGGTGGTGTTGAGCAACCCGATGAAGGCTTCCTGGCATGGCAAGTTCAACACCGTCTTCAACTTGTTGGTCATGAGATCGCTGCTGGCGAGGAAGGGAATATTGTTAGTAGTTGAAATAACACTTGCACCAATCAGCATCATGTTCTTCTCAACCTCATCAAAACAAACTGGTATTTGAACGTGTTCATGACTGTATTGCGTGGGTCCATGTCCAAATTCAAAAGGCTCTCTGTTGGGGGTGGTGCGCACTCGAAGCTTGAACTCGGCTAGTGAAGCTTTCTTACCATCCAACCATGCAGTGCTGCAACATGATTTCTGGCATGCTGTATCCAAAACCATCACTTTGGTGAACTTGGGGTTGAAATTGCCAAAAACTTGATGGGTGTCGGCGATGTGATGTGTGACCATGTATGTGAAAAACGTGCCATAGATCTTTTCGGTGTCATCTTTGGATTCATCCTCAAAAGTGACTGATCGCCGGCTTCCATCCCCATGCTGCACATGCAAAACCTTTTTCGCAGGAGGCTTGTTCTGAGAGGAGGATCCAGCTGACGTTTTGCCATAGGTTTTGCCTCGGCTGTAATCGTTGCCCTTGGAGTCGGCAGTGGCGCTACATTCTGGGTCACCTTTCCAATGACCTTTTTCGCCGCACACTGAACAGTGCAACTCTTGCTTGCGCTGCTTGATTGTTTTGCCGCCAGTAAACTTGCGGCCCAATGTCAAGCCTTGCAATCTGCGGGCAGTCACAGTCAGGCAATTGGCAGCTTCTTGAAGCTCATGGAAGACATCGCCATCTTGGTCGTCTCCATCGTCGTCAGCTGCTTGTTGATATTCAGGATCATCTTGTCCTTCGGCTGCATCTTCATCATTTTCATTGGGCTCATCATTGGCTGCAGGGTCATCCTGCGTGTCATCCTTGGCATCATCGGCGTTTTCGCCGGTCTCAGCAACGTAGGTCTTTTTGACAAAGGCAGAGTTCTGGTTGGGCTTGCCCTTCTGTTGGCCTTTGCCTTGTTGGGCAGGAGGTCGGTAGTTGCTGTTGGGCTTATTCGAATCTCGTGGCTGTTGTGGCTTGTCCTCCTTGTCAAAGTCTCTAGTGTAGACCACTGGAGGCGTAGGACGATGGTCAGGAAACTGAATCTCGGCAGCGTCCTTGACATCCTGATATCTCAAAGACTGAGATGTTGCCACCAAGATCATTCGCTGGGCATCAATGCCAAGTCGAAGTCTATCCAGCAAACGAGATCCTGCAGCCTCAGTGTCATACATGTTGCTTGTGTCAACACCAACGCTCTGCAGTGAACGCTCAACACGGTGATACCTGTTGCAAAAGCTTTTCACAGATTCACCATGGCGTCGTTGCAGACGCTCAAACTCATCCAGGAACTTGCGCTTCAAGTAGATACCTTTGACCATCAATGGAGCTCTCAGAGTCTCAAGGATATAGTCCACACCGTCCTCAGAGTCGATGCGGTCCAAGCTTGCATGTTCGAGCTCTTCTTCGGCTTCTCCTTTCAGACTAACATAGAGCATCATTGCAGCTTCGTTTGGAGGAAGGTATGAGGCAATCTGTCGCCTCCAAACGATCAACTTGCGTTCCCAGCGTTGGAATGCTTGGAGATCTCCTTTGTTGTATGTCCATTGCGGTGGTGCAGGAGGTGTGCCACCGCGGTATTTCAAGCCAGGTGCTGGCCCCTTTCGAATGGACCAGGGCTTCTCCTCAGCATTCTTCGCAGTCATGCTATGTAGATCCCGCAGCATTGCATCTCGCCATCCAGCATGCTTTGAACTTGCATCACTTCCAGTGCCGCCATAGCCTTTGCCCTTGCCCGAGCCACCTTTGGAGTTCAAAAGTTCGCGAGCAGGTGAGGCGGTCAAAGCAGGTTCCTTAGGAAAGCCAGTTGAGTGATGAGGAACTGTGAGACTATCGCATACTTTAGGATCTTGGAATACTTTGGGATCTTGATATACTTTGGGAACTTGATGAGCTTTAGGGTCAAGAGGCACTTTGGGAACTCGTGGAACGTTGTGACCTCGTGCAACTTTAGGATTGCCAGGATTGCGACGCTTCAAGGCTCTACGCTGACGTCTCGACATATTCATTGGAGACAAGGTGACTGGTTCGACCGAAGGGTCTGTTGTCACTGTCTCGGACTCAGCATAGGCTTCCTGCAGCGAGGCATCGTCTGGATCATCATGGTTTCTACGGCTGCCAGCATTGCTAGGTGGGGCATTTGGCACAAACATCCAACTGCCCGTTCTCGTAGCGAAGGTTGTGGAGGTGAAGGCATCATAGAAGGTATCATTGCCACATCGCATGCATGTCCATCCATGACCAGGGCTAACTCTCCAGTCCGCACTGTCACACGCTCGACACAACCATAGGTTTTCATCTTCTCCATCAACAGCTCGGGCCAGTGAGGGAACGTCCGAGCTATCATCATAGTTATCATCATACTCAAACACATGGTTGCTTGCATGGGTGTCACTCTGATTGGTTCGAACTGCAGTGGAGGTTGAAGGAGCATGTCCATTGGAAGACAGCGTAGGTGACCATCCATTAGCTTCGAACTCGGAGGCAGCGTCCATGCGAAACCAGTAGCGAAGCACGGCGGCTCCGGTATACCAACTCACACTAGTGCTTGCTGAACGCACTGTGGATCAAATTGCAAAGGCTGATGCAAAGGGCAGTCGCGCGACATTTTCACAGCATTGCAACATGGCTCAAATGGCCGTCTGCGGATGAAAAGGAAAACGGGCGTGGGGCATTTCGAGCCCGGGCCACGTAGTCGAACACCTCAGGACACCGCAAATGAAGATTGAGGTTGCGCATGTTGAATCTTCACAATATATAATATGTTGTGATGTGAACATTTATAAATATCGACAAGTACCCACAAGTAGTACCCGTAAACACGGACAGTTGTGATTAGATGTGGCTATTCTCGTGATAATCATGATATTTCTGAAACATGCTAAGCCGCATCAGACATGCTAAAGCTGAGATATCCCAACAACATGTGTTACCATCATGTCACGCCTTGGAAATCATGAAAGTTCCACTCAAGAAAGCCCCAAGGATCAAATAATATGATGACCTGAGTCGTTTCTAACACCTTCATAAGTTTGTCTTTATTCTATTCGCGTTTCTCTTTCGCCATCCTTTTCGCAAAACTTTCGCTGTGTGGGCCTTTCTTTAGCGGCATCCATGTGTCAGAAATTTACTTTCGCGCGCTTTTCGGGAAAACTTGTGAAAAGAAACCCGTGTTTTTTGCATTGAAATACATACAGAAACGGTTGGTCTCAAGCTTTTTTTGAAGGAATGTGTTTGCAGGAGTTACAACTGTGGTAACACGTGGATTGAAATTGTCATCACTGTTCTGGGGGAAGAAAAAGATGAAGGGAACTATTAGGGAGAAGGATCTATATGATTGCTGCTTGGGGTCTGGGCCTGGCTTTGCGCCAAACTCCTTGAACGATCTGCCTTCCGAAGACCAATTTTATGGAGGAGGGTCTATCTGAGCTAGTCGGGGCGTTGGCGGAGCTTTCGCAAAGCTTTCGCAAATTTTCTGCTCGCATCCTGGAAATTTAACGACAATCTGACCGTATGGATCCAAATACAGCCTTAGAAGGTAATCAGCAGAAATCATATCTCAAATGCTTCTTAAGAAGGTACTTAGATCCATAATTTTGAGCCTTCAAATGACACAATGATTTCCCTCATGTGTCTTACCCATCAATCATGTTTCCTGAAACTCTCTTTCACGAGCTTTCGCGGGAGCAAACCTTCGCAAAAGCTTGCGCAAATCTTTCGCGACTGTGGTTATGGCTTTCCTGGAAACATCTTACTTTAACGCCCCTTCAAATGATCCGAGGATTTTGGCGGCTCACCTAGAGTGTGCTGAAGTGTGCTGTATAAAGAAGCAGCTCCAAGGCACGTAGTACCACCACGAAGCAGCTCCATCGCCCCAGTTCTCAACCAGGTGCTGTGAGTCCACGATCACCTGGAGGATTTGATCATGGAATCATGGCTTTTTGATGTTGGCCTTCCTGCTTGACATGTGGATTGGGCCTGGATTGGGGTGCAAATGGGTGCAATGACTTGTAAAGAAACCATCCAAACAAGAAAATACATATGAAATCATATGAAGAATGCGATTGATTTGCATACTACACTTACTACACAAGTTCTATATGCAAGCCCTTCCACTTTGATTGCCGTCTAGCCGCATGAGTCGGAAACTCTGAGATTTCTCTGACCTCAGCGTGCGTCCGTGCGCATCTTGCGCTAACGCGTTTTTGGATGGGCAGATGAGCCTATCAAAATACCACTGTCCCATCCCATAAATATTGATTGATCAATAGCTATTCCTATCATGGCCTAATAATCATGCCCAACAAAAACATGCTGTATCTGTATAACATAACATGTTGTACCGTCTGGTAATTTAACATAGCTATGGAACATCACCATGTTAAATAGGTAAATCATCGAGCTAAATGGGCTATCTAAATAGTGATTACTTCCAAAGCAATCAATATCAAATTACCAGAGGGTAACCCACTCATTGGAAAATCTCTACAGTACAAGTGGTGGTGTTTAAGATGGCAAAGCAACGGTAGAACCCTACTCATTACAAATCAACAGGTATATTTCTACTTGGAGGATTATCTCACTGGGTTAATAACCCTGGTTCGTAAGTCCCGATTTATGGCTTACCCTATTTACAAACTTTTTTCCCCCTGGGGTAAACTACCATAGATCTGGAAGTTACCTATGAAACCCTATGGTTTCCCTATAGGAAAATCATCCAAAAATGGTGGGATATGGTGGGTAAACTCCACATCCTCAGGCCCCAAGCCAGCGATGCGAAGCTAATGGACGCTTCACAGCGTTCCAGCTCCGCCTGCGGAAGCTGGCCCAAGCGAGGTGGGAAAAATGGCTGTGGAATGCTATGGAACATGGATGAAAATGGCACATCTATAGATGATTTACTTCGGAAAAATGGTGGTTCTCATGGTTTTTCCAATAGCCACTAGTATGTGAAATTACCAGAAGGATCTAGAAGGTACCACATGCCCATGAGGGTATCACAGAACCCACTGAGTTCAATCCCCATTCCATCCCCATTCCCATCTGTTAAACCCCACCTCTCGCATGCACTTCTTCTTGAAGGTGTCAATCAGCGATTCCAACAGTTTCTCTTCATGCGCCTGACACAGCGAGAGGATCATCAAGTGCCTGGTGGTCATGACATGGACATGAACCCATATGAATCCTGGAGAATTCTATGAATATCTATGAATTATATGGAGGTTTCCTGAAAAGGAGGTACCCCAAATCATCCAAAATTAGCATTGAAACCCATGTTTTTGGGATCCCCCCATGTTAAGCAATCCTCGCAATGTTGTGTAACCGGTCCTAAACCAGATCATCTCAGGTCGTGCTGGACGAGAAGATGTTGCCATGCAACAGAAAAATGGACAAGTTCTAGCATCTTCAGGCCGAAAGAACAAAGAACATGTTATATATATATATATATATATGTGTGTCTGAAAATAGGGCATACCATGGTATATCATTAAAAAAAATCCCCAAATGATCCCAAATGGCCATTTAAAGAAGAAGAGGATTATCATTCATATTGGAAATTGGGGTGCCATATTCTTGTGGAAAACAAGCGCCTAGGAGGGTCCAGCATAGATATTAGTCGTCACTATATAATTCTTAGTCAATTCGGATAATCATGCTAAGTGCATGGAATATAAGAAGTATATCGAACCAGCAACTACAATAGCTTATTATTGATTATATATTTACAGGTTACGTATGGTTACATTACATCAAGTTATACCCGCACCCAATGGTGGTTATACTGCCCCCAGCCACTGAACGGTGCTTGCTCCCACCTTCCACTTGGCAGCCAGTTTCTCTCTGGCCTTCTGCTCTTCCCTGCGGATGCTGAAAGCTATGAAAGGCATCACTCAGCGAAAGTTGTCATATGACTACTGTATGGGTCGAAACCCTGGTACCGTGGCATCAAAATAGCTGTTGTTCATGGATGTTCACCCCCGCAACAGATGGTAGAGTTGCTTTTGACACATCCCCATGCACATCCCATGCACGTATGGAGCTAGTATGGGATGATGGGATACTATGGGGCAAGGGATAGCCCTTGCCGGGCCTTTTTTCCGCCACAATCTTCGTCAAGCTCGCAGCAAAGGACCTGAGGCACAAACACATCCTGAAGTGTGTACCTGCTCCCAAAAATTGCATGGTAAAGAGGCCCACATTGCCATATATATGACATATATATATATATGCCATATATAATACGACCACCCCATCCAAAATGTGCAGGTCCAAGATGGTCCAAGGGTTGTGATATCATGCTTCACCGAGTTGAGGACATTGTGTGGAGGCACCTCGGAGTACGAGAACATGCGCAGTGGGGAAGGACCCAGTACTCGATATTTCAATAAGTTTCTTGGAATATTTAGATATTCAAATGTGAATCCCGAATCGCTGGGATGAAGGGTCTATGGTGGTATATTGATGTATATTGGCATTAACTGGTATATCACTCGACTCGCGATGGGAATATTGTGTTAACATGGAAGGTTCAGATTCCAATGACCATCCATGATTGTTCCAAGGAACTGCGCATGGGGAGGTCCACGGTTCAAACGCCCCGCGTGAACCCTAACCCCCCCAACGTGGGAGCCACAGAAAGCTGCACCAATGTGGAACCAGGATGTTCAAAGGTGATGACTCCAGAGGCTCTTTCCAAAACGTCAGCCCAAGCCCAAAGGCATGTTGCATGCACGCAAATCTCCAGAGGGATCCAGATAGATACCGATAGCCTTTGTCATCCAACGTCCTCCAAAGACCTCCCATCTACTGTAGTACTAACCCCAGTACCCATAACTCCAAGCCATAACAAACAAACACATCCAAGCAACAGCAACAGTATATAAACCCCATCCTCAGCGATTGGAGCACCAGCGCCAAGTCATCAGCCTGGTGCAAAAATCCATTGGTTCAACCCGAAAAATATGTCCTTCTGTCCGACTTGGAGGCGAAAAAAAACCACTGAAAGCTCCGTTGCGAAGGGAATTGTTCACGTGATTTGAAGCATTTTGAACAAGAAAATGTGTGTTTGCTACCCAAAAGTGGGTTGGTTGACGAGAAATGTGCTGTCCATCTCTGAGTGCATTGTGACCTTGTGACCCCTTTTTGAGCCATGCTGCGCATGGTACCCCCCAATTTGATGGCCAGTTTCATTTTACCCACCAGCCATTTGTCAAGAGCTGAGAAAGAATGACCCTGTTTTTGTTGACAAACGGGAAGTAATCTGTGAAATAAAACACCACTGTTTAATTGCTTCATTGCCAGGTTCGGTTGCCGCGGTGTACCCCAAACCTCACCATGGCCATGGATTGCTTCCTGGGATGCAGGGTCCCTCCGGCATTAGACCCACAAGAACGCCCCATGCTGGCAACTCGCCGCCCTTCCTGTTGTTCTGTGACGTCCGTTGGCCTAGGTCTTCCATGCAATACAAGTGTGCAAGGGTATATAGACCTTCACTCAAACCTCTGTACAGAACACAAGCTGTTTAACGCGGCCGTCCTTGCGACCAAACACTGTACAAAAAGTTAGTGTTCAAGGTTGATTCAAAACAACGTCTCAGCCAGAAGATCCATTTCCACTAGGCAGACAGAGGGCCCTGCCAAGCTCAAAAGGAGCACGCCAAGTGTGGATGGTTGATCACTGCCCTGTTCTTGGCAACAAAGACTCGAGGACTTTCACGGCTGCTTCTCCATCCTCAACGCTGAAACCTTTTCGAAAGGTGTCTCTGCCCACGGTAATGACGATGCCCAAGTGCTTGGGTCCTCCGAAAACGAATTCCCGCCTCATGTCCAGAGCCCACCAAACATTGTTCAACGCCATTCCCCAGCCTTTTCTGTCTACCTTTGTGAAGCCCAGTTCCTCGTCAGTGGCGAAAGAAACTCGACACTCTTTGCCGATATTGATTCGCTTGGACCGAAAGACAGGGGCATAGTAGGACTTGATCTTGATGTGATCCGCATAGATCTCCACGAACTTGTCCTGGTAGAGTGCCACACTTGCCGCCATTTTAAGAAGATGTCTTTCTGCTGGTTGCCTTAACTTTAGGATGTTCAGGTCTTGAGTCTTGAGCCAGAATTTTAGCACCAACTGCATCAGAGAACAACACGATGATTGGAAAATCCAAACACGGATATGGAATGATATGGAAGCTTTCAAACAGATGCAGATACCTTGAGAAACTCGCAAGCCCGGCTCAAGGACCCGAACTGCTTCGAAACCTTGCTATAGAAGAAAAAAAAACAGCCTCAATCGGCGATCTGTTGAAGAGGCTCTGCAGCAATGCTGGAGACACTTTTTGCGTAATGTACCTGGTGAACGCTCTGAGCGGCGCCATTCCATGGACCTTTGCACGACCCCTCGTGTTGACTTTTCAAGCAGCAAGTGTGAGCGAGTGGTTGCGCATCACGCTTTACTCAAGTTACGGCAGTTAGTTAGGGTTGACATGCCCTGCAGGAAACAGGACGGCAGCCGCTCTGCGCACTTTGTCAGAACTGCTGGGTGCTTCTTCAAAGATTTGAACTGGCGAAGCCTGAAGTGTTCTGGGATGCCATTGGCAAAATGATCAAAATCTTCAGATGTGGCATCAACCAAGATTGTGGCACCTAGAAGAACCCAACTTTCACATATGATCATGTATGGTATGTTAGCTGGCAACCACAAAGTTGCTCATTTGTTGTATTCAACCAACTTTTACCATCCCACTTTAAGGCATTCTTGCGGGCACCTGTTTTTCATGACTTCACCAATACACATAAAAAAACTGATCCGTACTGGCACCTACCCGACAGTAAATCAACATAGCTATTTTTCAATCACCATTCTTAATTACGGTAGATCGATAAATGATGCCATCTATACCATACCCTCTGGTAATTTAACATAGCTATGGAAAGATCCACCATTTTTAATGGGAAAATCCACTATAAATGGTCATTTTCAATAGCTATGTTAAATTACCAGAGGGTAGCTATGTTAGTTTACCGGGGGGATCCGGGGGGTAGCCCACCCTCGCCGGGTTTCTGCGTTCCGCGCATCTCCATGCTGTTCTTCGGGCTGCTGCTCGGAATGGAAGGGGTGGCTGCGAGTGCTCGAGCCTCGGAAGCACCCAGTTTTTTGCAGATGTTGACACCCAACAAAAAGGGTCGAAGAATGGTCACATCCAAAGGTTAGAATATAATATATATATATATACAGTAAATAGATGTAAATAGTATGAACTAATTCTATAAAAAGTATTAACTAATTCTCAACATCATGGAAATCCATTGTTTTATCATCTTCCAAACATGTCCAAAGCCATTTTGTGCTCCTCTTCCGAAGCCTCCAAGTTGGGCCGCCCAAACCGATGCTGACGGCCGAGCGAGCGACCTGCAGCCAGCCAGGTTCAAGCCAGCCGTTCGGGGGTTCGGGGTTCAAATTTCCCTTGAAAAAAACGATCCAATGATGATATGGATTGATATGGATTGATATGGATTGATGTGGATGATATTGGAATGATATGAATTGATATATGGATGATATTGGATTGATATGAATTGATATATGGATGATATATGATATGGATGATATTAGAATGAATATGGGGGTTGTCTCAAAAATTGGCTGCTAAATCCATTGGTTCATCATCATCCCTGGTATCAAAAGGTACCATTTGGGGTCCGAAAAAAAACATGTTCAGACAAACTCATATGAATGATGTGGATTCTGGATGATATATATGATATGCATGAATTGATATGGATGATACTAAGAGCCTTGATATCCTCCAATATGTTTTTCATAGGAGAAATGGCTCGTACATGATGTCATCTTTTTTTTTGCCTGTTTGACAACAGCGGCTCATGTTACCGTTTGACACCCGGAGAAACAAGTTGGTATACGGCCACGGCTCAGAATATAGCTAGCAACGGATTCAGTTTAAGTAGGTGAAGCAGGGTATCCGGCACATATCTGTGATATGTCCATAGTTGCCATAGTTCAATGGCTGATTTGGCCAGTCTTGGTACCATCCAATGATCCAATGGGATCCAATGGGTGCGTCCCAGCGACGACCCGGAACTGGGTGAGGGTGGCTGCTCAGCCTGCGATCATAGGACAGGGCTTTCGACCGGTCAACTGAGGGGTTCTTTGCCCAAGGAAATTGGGGTTGAACAACAAAGGTCTGAGTTGAACAAGAAAAAATATGACAAAATACATTTAAGCATGACCGGCCATGAACCTATGAAAAGTGGAGGATCGTACTATACCCACGAAACCAGCAATAGTGTTGACAGTTTAGCAAATAGAGGTACTGTGTCTTTTGCAGGACATTGGGTTTTTCGCATGCAATGGTCCTTGTAATGGCTATTGGCAATGGTTGTCGATCCCTTGAGTGAATAACGCGAATGATCAGAATGCCGTCAGTTGCGATGACATCATCACATTAAAAGCGATTAAAAGCATCTCAAGTCATGTTGAATGAAAGAGTTGCCATGAGTTGCCAAAAAAACAGATCTACAGTAGATCTACAGTAGATCTGCCCATGCTGGATGTTGACTCCCTTGACTCCCTTGACTCCCTTGACTCCGTTGACTCCGATATGAATTTTCTGTCACTTTTTGGGGAAAAAAAGGGCATCCGCACCGGCGCAGAGCTTGGGCGTTGCAGCCTTAGTGCATCAACGGAGCTTGGGACCTCCAAGCAGATTACTCCGAAGGTCTCCGAAGGTCGTCCTTCATCTCATTGCTGAATGCTGGGTGCATCTTGCTGAATTCCAGGTAGCTTTTAGGCTGGAGAGTGTATTATGATGTATTATGATGCATTATGTATAGATATGAATATAATATTATATATATATATTAAATCATATTAATATCAATATTTATATTTATGATTCTCAATTTCTGGCTGGAAATTAGCTTGCCATGAACCTTCCTTTTATCCGAGTTTGCACATTTTCCCTATGTCATGCCACTGAAATGCCACGAAACCACAATGGCTGCGAACGCTCCACGGAAGGCGCTAAGCTCCCAACTCCGGTCTCAACGGTTCAGCCTTGCTAACGTTCCGTGGTGAACACAATCCAATTGGCCCACGTGGTGAAAACGTTGGAAACCTGAAAATGATATACAGGGAAAACAAAAAAGCTGTAACATCCTAACACGTGAACCTGAACTGTTCTATTTTTCTCCGGGTTCCATCCATGTGTCATGTAGTGAGCTCTGAGTGCAGCTGTGTTCACTGCTGGGACCCCTGCCGGTGTTGCGACAGGCTCCACTGGCCTTAGTGATGAAGAAATCTTTGCATCTCATGACGGCTTAAAAGGGTGAATAGGACACAATCTCGTATAATATCCTCTATAAATGGAGCTTGATAGCTAGGTGATTTGCCAGCTAGCCATGTTTCATTACCGCTGGGCATGTGATTGTCCAAGATTCGGGGACAGCAATTCTGATATCACAGCACCCTCTGGTTGTGACTAACAGTTCGCCATGGTTTTTCGATGGCCCCAATCGAAATAGATGCTTTACCTATAGCATGGTGATTTTCCATGGCGAACTGTTAGTCATAACCAGATGGTAGTGTGATATCGGCTACCAGTGACCGATGATCATCGGGCAGTCTTCGTGTGCTGCTGGGATTCCAACCTACTTGGTGATGCTTTGGCCGGTGCCTGCGCTTGGAAAGCTCGGCCAGGGCTCCACGGGTCCACATTGGCTTTTGTTAAAACCATTTTTTTAACCCATATGGGGGTTTCCATAGTCATTGGGGAACCCCAAAAATGGAATAAAAATGGTTGGTTTACAATGGAAATCAATGGAAAATACTATTAAAATGGAAGATTTGGGGGTACCACCATTTATGGGAACCTCCATACGGCGCTGAGCACGAAGATTTTCTGCGAAGAGATTGCACTGCCAAGTGGCTACGGATTTACAAAATCAAATTACAAGAATAGCAATGGACATCACCCAACGGCTCAGCGTCGAGAGATCTCCCGCCACGGAATGCGCATGTCACATCTGAATCCGACGGAATGGGCCATCTGCTAGCTGGGCCGACAAAAAGACCGAACAGCGCATCGTCGAAAGGGCCAAGGGGGAAAGCTGAGTGGTTGCTGGTCATCACTGGTCATCACTCGTGTCTCAAATTGGCGGATCCAAAACAAAAGCAGGACGGCTGATTTGCAACTGTTAAGTCTGTTAAGCCAATTTTGACACACACCCGTTTCATCCAAACAAACAGCAGCAACGGACACACCAAATAAGACAACTGCAACAGCTTGACCTCCTGGCCCCTTCGAAAATGGATCTTTCGATCAGCCAACTGCGGCCATTGAAATCTCACATCGAAGGACAAAAAGATGCCGCTCCGGGAACTTAGGCACCACCGGCAAACGCACCTCACGAGGCGCAAGTCTATAGGGTGATTGGTTGGATGCACAAGTCTTCTAGCTGTTGGATTGCTTGCTCATAAGATCGTATAAGTACTTGTCATACTTTTTGCACATATCACCGCCCATCTGATTCCACACACTCACTGTGCACAACATGTCTGTTTTCCGCCTCGGAAGTAGCCCTTGCCAGAGGCCTTGCCTGGAGAGGTTAATGGGGTGTCAAAAGCCGTGCGTTCAACATATAATCAACCATAGTTGTCCAGTTATGTCCCGTAATTTGATGTAATTTGCATATGTTTATACTTTCCACGAGCCTCCTGTATGCTTCAAAATACACATTTTGGAATGTACAATCCATGCAGTGGGCCATCTATATATATATATATATGCACGCATTTATGTCCAATCGGGCTGCCAAAACTCTAATGCCTTGCTGGTCGCATGAAGCCTTCATATCTTCACTCATAGCTTCATCCAAACAACGTCCAACGACTTCAGGATGGCCACAAAACATCTGTATGGAAACTCCTTCGCATGATAGATTAATGATATATATATAATGTTCAATTAATTTTCATATGATTGATGATTAATGAGATATAATATATATATATATCATATAGGTATATTA